GTATTTTGGTATGCGCCTGACTCGTGTCCACTCGTAACTTACCGGGACGAGTCGAATGGTATTTACGGACAGAGGCGACTGATAACGAATGCCACCGGAGTAGGAACCAGCATACATCTGACTTGGTTCATGCATGCATAGAATTATGCACATATACTCAACCAAATTAAAAACTTGACATCTGTGGAATTGGCCTTATATACGTACGCGCGTGGGGAATGGACAGCAGCCTTCGGTATGACGAACGACTACCCCACCACCACAGGCCCTCGTGTCTTTGCGAGGATTAAAGATAAATAAAATATTGTTTTCGAGATGACCCCTGACTCGAAATGCTTCACAGTACATATACATTATGTCATAATGGTTTGTACTGTGAAGCATTTCGAATCGGGGGGTCATCTCAAATTTTTATATATTTTTTTAAATAATCTTTAATCCTCGCAAAGACACGAGGGCCTGTGCCTACCACCCCCTTTCCATTTTTTTTAGCTTTAATGCCTCGGAAACCACAACGTCAATAGGATTTACAACATGGCAGGGAATGTTGATACTGCAAAAAGTATGCGGACACTTGACGTCATTTCCATAGACTTACATGTTATTTTAGTGTAGCATGAATAATTTTCATGAATTGAGTTTAGTATGTTTCTTTGGCAAATTTGAAATTATCTCTGCGCACATAATTTCAGTTCAATTTTCCGACCACTATTTAACTAATGACATCACGTTTATCAACTTACCTATGGTTCTACAATGCACAATCCCATAGGCCGCCTTGTTAAAGGAGTTCACGACACTGTACATATGTTGATTAAATTGTTTCCATTCGATAAATAAGCAACGGAAAATTAAACAGAAATTTTGTGATTGTAGGCACAGGGGCGTGTCACGCTTAGAAACAGCGTTAGAAAGACATAGGTATATAGACCCTACCCTAGTACAATATAAAAGGATCCTTTTATATAGTACTAGGGTAGGGTCTATATACCTATATGTCTTTCTAACGCTGTTTCTAAGCGTGACACGCCCCTGTGCCGGCAACTAGCTTACCAACGCCTCACGTCTCCGACCCCTAGAGACGTCAAGACACCAAATGTTCAAATGCTCAAACTGTACAATTTGTTGTTGAACGCGACGGTACAAGAGTGACATTTGACATGTAATAAATGGATGAAAACAGTTTTTGTTTCTGTATTTCAGTAATGGAGGTATTACTGTTTGAATTCAGCGTTAGGACCAGGTCAGTAAAGGGCGCCAATATTTGAACGTAGGGCGCCAATACACGAGATGAAGTCGCCAATATACGAAGCTATGTCGCCAATAAACGAAAGATACAGGCTTCCCATTCCATCCTTATTGGAGTGATATGTTGTGTAATGGAGGCAAGTTTAGGTTTAAGCATAATCTAGATTTGTCAACAAAATTTCGTGCAGAGGTTTCAAGTACAAAGAAGTGCATCGATTCTGGGTTTCGTCCAACAATAAGCAGCCACGCCGTAATTTAACGTTAACCGGGTTAGTTGATATGGTTATAGCAATATTCCAGCCATACAACGATGGAGGATATCAAAAAGAGGATTTTACCCATGTGAGGAATCGAACCTGGATCTTCGGTATGACGAGCTAACACTTTAACCACTAGGCTACCCCGCAGCCCTGGTATAACTGGAATACTGCTCAGAGCCGTAATAAGCCACATGTCGGAAACGCACTTTAAATCTCTAAATCATCCTCTGAAGCCGCGTTTTACCCAACTCTTTCTCTCACTCACGGATTGCGTTTCAAAGTTATGGAAGATGGTGTTCATTTTTTATTTCAATTTCCTTATTCTTAACGCTATACGTGAGGCTTGGTTCTGATGTTGATATCTTTACCAGCGACGAATCCAGTATCTATTGCTATATAAATAATGCAACGGCTTCCAGATGCAACTCACAGATAATGTTTCAAAACTGCCCCAAAGAATTGTACTTTGTCTCCTGAAACTATTACACCCTACTCGAATACACTCTACGTATAATCTCGAATACACTCAATGTATAATCTCGTGACAATTAATAAGACCCGATTTAAATTGCGTCTAGAGACTTGGATGACCAAACAATTATTAATTTCGAAACAGTCTTGGGGCAAGGATAACTTTTCGCCGTTTTCTCGTTATTTTTAATAAAAAATGGCGAATGTATTTATGTGACGCTTTCTTTCCCGTAAGGCTCGAATCATGTTCATCACGGTGCTAATTGTACAGATAATTCCCAGGAGCGCCATCGATCTGTCTTTTCTTGCAGTAGCGCATTGGCGGGCTCAACATTTCATCAGTGGGGCCGGGATTGCAACAACAACAAAACAGATGGAAACATTGGTGTATGATTTGCTGGCTATAATATTAAATCCGTTCACGTATGATTACTGTTTGTTTGTTTGTTTGTTTGTTTATCACCGCAGTCAGCAATAATCCCACTATGTGGCGATGGTCTGTAAATATTCGAGTCCCAGGATCTGACAATCCTGTGATCGACAGCATGAGTGAGTCAGTGAGTGAGTTTAGTTTTACGCCGCACTCAGTAATATTCCAGTGATCAACAGCATAGGCATCGATCTGGGTTGATTGTGGTTTTACTCAATGTAAGAAGGGGACATTTTGTTGAGTTATTAATGCACAATTGTGGAACTGAGGAAGATATATATCCAGACACAAGTCATGAAAACAGAGAGACAATTTGGCAGCAGTCGCTTTGCCGCTGTAACAATGACAAAACGAAAAGAGACATGTTGGCACAGTTGTCTAAGCTGCCGTGATCAGCTGTGCAGAGTTTCGTCCCTTGGACACGCCCGATTTCTATGATTGTGATTTTCGAATCCAGGTTTCACCCGATCATGTCTCTACTTTTGGGGGCGGGGGTTAGCCTAGTGGTTAAAGCGTTCGCTCGTCACGCCCAAGACCCGGGTTCGATTCCCCACATTGGTACAATGTGTGAAGCCCATTTCTGATGTCCCCCGCCGTGATATTGCTGGAATATTGCTAAAAGTGTTGTAAAACGTCACTCACTCTAGTTTCGTCGCGTCGGTTTCACCACGGTGCATGGTAATGTTATAGGTCTGAGACCTACATCAAATCCCCCACTTTAAACTGACAAGTCCTGGATATAACTGAAATACAGCTTAAAGAGAGGCTTATGTGCGTGTGCGCGCGTGAGTGCGTGTGTGTGCACTGTTGTGTGAGTACATTTTGCAGCGTTATTTCGAGTATAAGTTGGAGAATATCTGAATCGCACATAAAATATACCATTACATAGAATTTGCCCACAGCAGGTCCGCCATTTCCATTCCTTTAGACGCCATCACTAAAATTACATTCGAAACGCGGCATATGCTCACGGATATGCCCATGAATTTCAGGAACGTTTACTCAGTGTTACTAAAATAGTCATTCACGTCTCAGCATGTTGCTGGTTATCATTATGATTGTCAAATTACAGTTTTCAATCTGAAGATGGTGTATACTCTTCAGAGAGTTGCGTGCATGAAAGAATTTATCGCGCGTTAACGCTCCTAACCAGTGAATTGATTAATTAATAGCCACTGTGTGTGGTCTTACTTGTATTCACAAACCACTTCATTGTTTATTGATATACAGCGATTAGCAAACACACCATCCGTATCGTCAGGGACAGGCGCTTATGGGAGAGTGTTAACTCCTTTAATAATTCATACATGTACATCACGCGAGGCAGATCGTGTTTCTTTACCTTGCATGCATCGTATTACACCCTTTGACAGTCTTTGCGTATGTCTTGCATATTTAATTCATATTATTGAACTATGTATTTTATTTAAAATAACTGTTTTGTAATGTATGCTACTCTTCCACAAGAATTAATGTGAAGCGCAGCATAAGAGATTGGCATAATATATTTTTTATTTGAAGTTATCAGTTTAATGCTTTATTTTTATTTTGTTTTGTTTTTTGGCTGTTGTTTATGGTTTTTTGTTTGCTGGTTGGTTTATATTGTTGTTGTTTTTGTTTTTGGTTGTTTTGTATTTTTGTTGTTTTCGTTGTTGGTTTGTTGCTTTTTTGGGGGGTAGGTGTTTGTTTGTTTTGTTTGGGGATGGGGTTTGTTTTGTTTGGGTTATTTTTGCTTTTGAGGGGCTGGGGGTGCGTGGAGTTGATGTGATGTATGTGTGCGTGCGTGTGTGTGTGTGTGCGTGCGTGAATTAATTTGGAAACTGATTTTTTATTATTGGGATGCAGTCGTGGGACAAAATGTTACATAACGTGGGTGTGTTTGCAAGATCAATCTCACCTAGCTTCAATTTGCTTATTCGCTTAAATATGTAGCCTGGCTACTGTACGCCTACATGTTTAGCGTCCATGATCGACTGCTCGGTGCAATGGGTTTGGGCTACAAACAGCAGACCTAGATACTTCTATTTTTCTAACAAACAGAATATAACGTAAACATCCTGAACATGTAACCTTCAACAACTAATAGAAATTAGTATCTTACTTATTGTTTTTGAGCCCTGCAGTAGGCATATAGCTTCACTAAATCTATATTATCAAACAATTTACAGCAACATAGAAAGCCGTATCTAAGCATACACCACGCAATTATACATCAACAATAGTTCCGTCAGTAGCTTGAACATGTTATTCTTCCATCGCAGCAGTAATGTCGCGAGACCCATTATCTTAGATCTTATTGATTTGTGACTCGACAGACTGTCAAACAACAATATCACCAGAATGCTAGATCTCGCACTACTTGCGCCTGTTGTAGCAACGGGACCAGTCACTTCCGCGGTATCGCTCCGCTGCTTGACGCTTGATAACGGTACTTTAATTTCGTTTTATTGTCACCAAACAAGGTATTTAGAATATACCGCTCACCACATATGACTCTAAATAATGCCTTAGGTCTTGTTAAAGAGTAAAACAAAACACCGTCTGTAAATGTAATTGGGAACTTAATTACGTGGCCCTAGGTTTCAACTTAAGATTTGTGAATGCATGGTGTCATGGAAGTTTAGGGTCCCAGGAGAGGAACGAGAGAGGACGATCGAGACCTTATTATTGTAAGTGTTTTATGTTTGTTTACAAATATCATAACAATGTAAGGCCTAATTTCACAGATGAGTCTGCAGCCTCGTAATAATTTGATACTGATACGAGAACAGTAACTTTTAATGGATTAAGTTCTTAGTTGAAATAACATAGATCTCTAAAAGGCCAAGCTGTTAGCAGTACAGTGCTGTGTAGGATCCTCGTGTTTAAATAGAGGGCAAAATGCACTTACAGTCAATTGTTGATGTTTAGACATTTCTCTGTTGAATTCATTATCTGCTAAACAACCTGCTTAATTTCTATAATGTCAGTACACGCTTGTATTCTCATGCCAGTGTTAGGTTTGTGCTCCAGTAGAAAGTGGTATACTCCTGATAATAACTGCTTGATAAGAATTCATCCTTATCGATTGTCAAATGTTTTCAATTATGTCATCCCATCGATAAAATGTCAGCAGGATATTTCTATATTAGACATACAAACTCTCCCATAGATCTTCCATTTATTTCATTTAAGCATAAGTAGCTGAAATATTTTCCCCTTGCATCAGAAGAGCAGCTGGTATTTTTCTAGTTAATGTTCAGGCATTTTCTTTTTTCAGCAATGTCCTTGATTGTGTTGAATTAAGACATGTATGAAATGCAATTCATTTCTTGACAATACTGAGTGAAATACAAAATGGCAGCATGGGTGTTTCATATTCTATAATGATGGTATTATTATATTATGATAATATTGCCATATAGATGATACACAAAGGATGGATTTGTATCAAGTGACATTCACATATATTCTGGTGTGCCTATAAAATTTTAGAGTTTCAGTTAGAAATATACTCTTAACGCATCATCAGACTTAGTGACCATCCAGAAATACTGAATGTCTTCACCCTGGTAGAATATAACCAGTTGTAACTTTGAATCTTTACCTATTTCCTTTACGTTTCAGTCTGCTTTACCTTTTTCCATTTCTAAACTTCCATGCATATTTTGTGAATCTATCATGTTTAAGTGTTTTCAGTGAGTCTGTCACATTTATTTGTGGTTTCATAATATGCATTGTCACAGGGTATTGTGGTAAAATTATTTCTAAGGGCTTCCATTCATGCACCTGCACCTTGTTTTTACCGCACCATTGCAATTTTAACTGTATCATGGGCACTAAAGTTAAGGAACCCAGTTCCTCAGATTGTCAAATAATGCACATGGTCCTCTCTTGAAGGAAATACCTCCAGACTAGCATAATGCTTATTTTATCAGTTCCTGTTTATGACTGCAAGAACTAGCATAATGCTTATTTTATCAGAACATGGACCGTTTTCAAGTTTATTGGCCAAATGTTGAATATAACCAAATTGTGGATTTTAATTCTTTGTATGTCCTGATAAAAGCATACATGCAACCCACTTAACAATTCGGTTAGCCATCATAGCTAAGCAGCATGTGTTGAAAAGAGCTGTGATGATATAATCCTTTGACTTGTTTAAACATTCTAAAAGCTTTGGTGACACTTGATTACAAATTTTGATAGGAGGAATATTTTTTCAAAGTGGATTTGTTGACTTAGAATTGTCAGAACAACCATTGTTTAGACTGTCAATTCGGGTACAGTTACCATGGTTACAGATGGCCGCTGTCATGCTCATAGTCACAGTGGAATAGAAGATGTCAAGAAATAAAATACTGTCACTGTACCACTGTTCCTCATTTGATGTTGTAATGTATTTTTTAACACTGTTTGACATGATTGACACCCCTTCTCAAATAACCTCTCCCTGTGTTGCCATGCAATATTTTAACAGAGGCCAGACCAATTATATTTCTTGTTTTGTCCTCAGAAAACCTAAGGGCAGGAGGGAAAAAAATAAAAATAGAATCACCAGTCAAACTAATATTCCTTCTAAATACTCAAAGCATGTTACTTTTGGCAATTTGTGAAGTGTTATGGGGCAAAAAACAACCTTAAAACAAAATTTCTTGTATGTTTACATTTTTAGCCAATGAAAACATTAGGATTTTTATTTTTTTCTTATTCTTGAAAATATATGTCAGGCAGATCCGTAAAACAAGAAATAAGATTGGTCTGGCCTAAAGATATATCCACCATTTCCCAGACTGTTGTATAATTATTCATAAATATTTTTTTCAAGTGTCCCTACTGAAATAAGAATGTTTAATTGTTGACATTTTTACCATGTAGGCATCCAATCCAAAAACTTGTTTTATGTGACAGACAAACTTTGAATGCTTTGAACGTCCATATTGTAACAAACCTTTTATGAATATCTACCAAAATTCATAGTCAGCTGTCAACTTTACCGGTAATTAAGTTTGGTAAAGTTTTATGATCTGTGAAATTTTTCTTAGGATGCAATTTTCACTTTGAAGGCAAATTTGAACCTGATGAAAGCAAAAACAATTTTTTTTAAAATCAACAAAAAATATTATATGTAATCAGTTATGAATAATATCATAATTTGTATAAAATGGGCAGTTATCATGCATTTTCTATTATTAGGAAACCTGACATGAAGTAGCTGGTCATAGAGTGTCTCTTCCAAATCAACATGGAGGAAGGTGAGAAGACCACTCCCGAGGCCAGTAGCAGGGAGGCTGAAGACAAGCAGCCTGGCCAGTCATCTGGACGATCACTGACCACACCACCACCCAGGGACAGTACAGAGTCCAGCAGTGACACCAAGGATAAAATTGTTAAAACCGAAAATGTTGGTGCGGAACCGAAAGTCACAGATAGCAACATGACCAACAGCAGTCTTTTGGACCCTGAGTCTTTCGAAGACTTCAATACCATGTTTCAGCCGGCGCTAGGAACAGCCCGCACCAAAAGCCCCGATTCCAGTCGTCCTAAAAGCAGCAGCAGTGGAGAGATTATGTTTGAAGCAAAGCGAAGACGACGTAAAGTTGCATCGGGACCAAACGCTCATACAGTGACATTTACCGTTAATGTTGCCATGGCGATACCAACAGGTCAGTGCCTCCTTTGGAAACTTGTCATTTAGACTTTTGAATATTGTACATTTAAAGAAAGGGGTCTGTTTCATTGTTGCATGCATATTCCAACCCAGGAAAAGATAAGCATTCCTCAATGCATGTTCAAAGTATGATAGTAAATAGATTGTGGGCACTTTTAGCTTAGTATGAAATGTTTAAGCCCCCAGAAGGATTTTCAGAGCAATTCATCAGCAAATCTTAATTTTTTCTACAATACTTGAATCATGTAACTTTAAAAGGAGAAAATTGTGTATAATGTTTTGTTCAATGTTGTATTGTTTTTGTATAAATTTTAATTAGAACAGTGATTAGTTTTAGAATTAGCTGCCAGAAGTGGTTTGACTGTTGTGGTATTTAGATATTGTGGGTGTGTTGAAGCATATCAGCAAACAATAGTATATTATTGTGTTTTGTAGTAACTGTTTCTTTCGTTTTGTGATCGAAGAGGTAGTACCTGACCCCTCCCTCTCTGTAATCTTGAAAACACTTTTTGTCTATTTTATTGTCCAACGTGTTAAGCTTGAGAACATGAGGCATGTTTTTCTCCACTGACAGATAAACATGTCATGTCTTTGTATTAGGTCTGTTGGGTTCTCATTATACAGACTTAAACTGTTGCTGGTGAATATATTCATATCATCAAATCACACCATGACTCTAAGGACAGTACGAATGACTTATGTCTGTCATTTTAAACTGAAAAGGGAGATATTGAAACCACTTGAATCTATCAGAGTTTTAGCTTGGAAAGATACTTTGCGATTTTGACCCAAATTGTGACAATAGACTAATGGTCCAGGGCTCCAGTTAATTTTTCAACATCAGGAGTACGTACTTCTTATGTTTTCAATATAAGAGTACTGGAAAACTTTAAGAGTACATTTAGAGTACTGAATGGAATTTAATGGAGTATCAGTAATCTTGTGTTTGGCATCATATATGCACCACAACATTGCTACTCTTGTGTAAACAGGTCAATGAACAATACTTTTTCTGATAAATACGACTGTAAATGATTCTAAGACCGTACACCATTGCTGTGGTGCGTATCTGCTACGTTTTCCAAAATATTTCCTACCGTATCGTGCATATTTTTTATCCGTACATACGCTGATACGGCCCTTATCTGGAGCCCTGATGGTCATAATGTTTTTGGTAATTTTGATCATTATTAATAAACATTTTGTCCTAATTATGATAATTATTTTCGCCTAATTCTGACTGTAATGATCATGATGAGTATAATGAACAACTGACTGAAAATGTATGATAATCTTCAGACATTCATGAAGTGATAATAATTCATATTAGTCACAATGATATATCAAGATCAATGTGAAAATGCTATACATGTATTTTGATCTCTTAAGCTGCTCACATTTAATATAAATCAAGAATGGTGACATAAAAATAAATTGCTACAAGTTTCTGTAAAATATTGTACAGGGATTTATCTAGATCTACTCAGAGGGCAATATTCAGCCCAAATGGCTGTAACTAAATGTGTAAGTAATCAAAAACTGGAATTCATAATTTCCAAATTTACATTTTTATAGAGAAGATGTATTTCACTGAAAGCAGGACTATTATTATAACGGAGGAGGGTTTTATTGCTAAGCTTTAAGATTTTTTTAAGAAATGTAGTGTTAAATTTTGATTTCAAAATACCTGTAAATATAAGAAAATATAATTTTGAAGAAAAATATGCATTTTACAGCCTTCAAATGCCATTGTGTTTTGTTTTTTTGTGGGTTTATTATTTTTGGGGGGTGGGATGGGGGGTGGATTCTTGAAAAATCCCTGTCATGGATAAGTTTCTATACAATGTGTATGCAAGGTAAGTCATGACATTTATTGTGTTTATTTCAAAAGTCAAGTTAATGTAAATGACAATGATAAAAAAAATCATGATTTGTTGGGTTTCTTTACAGCAGATCAAGAAATGAGCTGAAATGTTATCGTAAAAAAATAATAAAAAAAACAAATCATGATTTGCTGGATTTTTTAAAGCAGATCAAGAAATTAGCCAAAATGTTGTTGTTGTATCGTACATAGGATTTCACTTCCAGGAAGTGACTGTTTCTTTAATTGCTATTCCCTGTAATATGCAGTAAAAGACAAGTCTGGACACGCTCGTCGACAAGGGACGCCTGTCCAACCTCATGGTAACCAAACAGTATTTAGGTATTTAAGTCGCTGCACCCCCTGCTCTGCAGTTCGCCATTCTCTCTCATTTATCCCACTTCTACTTTCAATTACACCGCAAACATCCACACGCAAAGCTTGCATGTTGATATCTGTCAATTCTGCCTGAAGGGACTTCGCATTTCAGAGCCGTTTTCCTTCCGTTAAGCTGGGGGAATTTCCTTGCATGACTGCAAACCGTTGCCAGCTATTTTCATTCAGCTTGTCTGTGGGTGATTTCTCGGTGGTTGATGTTAACGCTTGAATTACAGTCCCATGGAATTGTCGTTTACACTTGATACTGATAAAATCTAGGGCTTAATTTTGATTGATGGAAATCACACTTGCTTGTATTGTGCGTTACAAGATCTATATGTGATAAAGTAAGGAATGGAGTCGAATCATGAGGGTCTATTGTGAAGTGAATATTGATTAAAAGTTGTTGTGTAAATAGTATTCATATAGGTCAACCAGTCATGCATTAAATATATATTAGGCTATCATGAATAGGCTTTTAAAGGGTATTACAAAGATTTGGAGGACATATATCATATATTGATGTAATGAATATTTTCTTGTTGAAGAGTATTCTTGGGTTTTTTCTGTTTTGGTTGTCATGGTAACAGAATTTATCTGAATGAATATATTATAATAAAGTTATCATCATTTGAAGGATTATGTTACCCTGGTTAATATAAAGAAATATTATTTTCAAAATTATATTTTTTAGACACATTTTTCCTCATTGAACATTTTGATTACAAACAAATGAATTTTTTTTATACAAAAATGCTTTTGCCATCTTACTTTAATTTAGTCATTCAGCACAAGTTTCGTGTTTAAATGCACACATGTAGAGCACAAACTGCTTTCCACAGTATTCTGCGATATAGTTTAGATATACATCTTCATCTTTGTAACTTCATACACATCTGCTGTCTTCCAGCAGAGACCATATACAATGGTCTCTGCTTCCAGGCTTTCTTTCCGATACACATAGTGGCACATCATTTCTTATCTACAGCATCTAGTATAATAAAACCTTATCTAAAAGTAGGAAAGTTTTCAAAACTTGATTTTAAATAATCAAAATAGTACTGTATTTACTGAAGAAATGCAGTTCGCTCTACTCCCATGTTTTTTGGAATAAAGTACAGTTTTGCCCTGAACTATTATATATAGTTAAAGCATGAGGATCCTTTCGTCCTCTATTACATAGTTCTAAATAATAGAATTTCGAATGATAATACAGAAAGAAATGGGGTAACAGTAATTACATTTCAAATTTGGTGTTGGAGAATGGCCCATTCTTTCAGTATGAAAAAACTGGTTGGAGGAAGGGAGGGTTGTTTTTTTATGCTTTTTTTTTATTATAACCAAACATATATTTAATTTGAAGGCCTTATGTCCTGGGAACCTCAATGACCATGAATACACCTTCAAGCGTGATGTTAGTCATATCTATTTGCAAATGAATTTTATGAATATCAAATTTATAAAATTCATATTTTTAGAACAATTAATTATTTGAGGATCTTGTCAATATTGAAATTGACTAAGAAATTAAAAGAAAAATTCTGTTGAAAATATTGATAGCATATTTGTGTCTGCAGAATGTGGCACCAAAGTCAAGATGCTGATTATGCTTGAGGACATGTTGTCATCGCAAGGATGTCAATTGTCACCTCTACTCTTTACAACAGATTGAATTTATGAATAATTAAACACTCTCTGTCCGTTTATATGTAGCTTTTTTCCCCATCATTTCCTGTGTCACCCACACCTTTCTCCCGTATAAAGGCCTCTCTCCCTGTAGTAGCGTGATGGTTGACAAAGCAGGCGATGTGGTACTGTTAGATTTGATAATTCCTGCTGTATTAGGAAATAATTTTTTGATGGCAATAAAGAAAGGTAAGTGGACATGTTTTTATTTTTTCTGTTTAAGTAGATAAGCCTGTGCTTTAAGTCAATTTAACATTGAAAACTTTTGTTTAATCATTCTCAGGGCTATTACATCAACATTATATGCACTGTTCACTATGCCTGATGATTTTTTTGTGTGGCATAAAAGTTTTGTGATAAACTTTCCTCCAGAAGGTGTTTTGGTGTCGGAAGTATTCCCATTGGAACTTTTTTGGTTAAAACATGGAACGCCAGTTACATGCAATTTACTGAACTCTGATCTGTTGATGCCAAAGTACGGAGGTCTATGTTTTCTAAACATTATTCCTGACAAACCTTGAGTTAACCATGAACACATTTTGTAATTTATTTTGCCACCTGCTTTTTGACACATTGAGTTAGAATGTCTGCTTACTTTATTTTCCATATTCATAATAATTATGATAATAATACAAAGATGATTATGGTTTGCCGAATTCCACTGAAGTGAATAATCAGAGTTCTATATTATTTTTAAGAATTGCTACCCTCTTTCACTGTTTTTTTCTCAGCTTCCTGAGAAGTATACACTGTCATCTCCTATCGTAGATGAACATTCTTGCTTGTTTTGATTTCTGTCATCTTTGACAATATGCTTTTATGATTTTTTGTTATTAGCTCAAGCTGTATTCTTTCTTTTCTTCCTTTTTGTTGTAGCTGTAAAATTGCTGATGCAGCAGAATATATTTATCAGACATTTCCTCCCTTATTTTTTAAAAGACAATAATATGTAACTGAAAGGTGAATGAATATGTAATGCATTTCCATTCCTTTGTAATAAACACTATCCTTTCTTCAGTCCCACTGAGTTACACTAGAGGTCTCTGTTTAATGTCAGTTTGTTGAAGTCCATCAAAGTACAGTAGAATACTTTTATAACGAACACGGATATAACAAACTGACGGCTATATCGAACTGTTTTAAAAGTCCCTAATAAACCCTATATTATCATATAAAAAAAGTGAATAGCGAACTACGGATATAACAAACTAATTTCAGTGGTCCCTTGGAGTTCGTTATAAAGGTATTTTACTGTACAGATACATCCTTAAAACATCATTATAAAACATCAAGCCTCATTAGTCAGTCATATATATCTCCATTCTGTTCTACAAATACACTGGACCCATTCACTGCCATTTCTGAGTTCCAGAAGTGTTGTCACGATCTGTTATCACTAACTTAGCAAACCTTCCCTGAATATACAGCATGAAATCAACAACCAATATCTATTCTGAAAACAAGTTCAGCATAGATTTACATTTAGAATTGCATCCTTATACAAGAGAGCCCTTGATATGCATAATAAAATTAACAAAATTTTTCTTTTTTTAAATAGATGTTTTCTATGAACTGAGGGGAAGGAAGTCCTTTAGCTACGAAACATTGGGAGTCGTTTTTGAGATGGCACAAAACATGAGTCAAATTCAGATTATGACAATGCTTGTTTAAATTGAAAAGGAAAACTGTAATTTGATTGGACAGTTATTTTTAGCTATGTTAGCAAATAGATCCAAGGTAAAAGATAATAGAATGGAGATAATATGATAATATGTTGGATAATCACAGATAAACAGCTTGTAGTTACACGGTCATATTGTGACTTGCAGTTGAGGATGATTGTCAGCCCGATATAAAGGAGATGATGAAGAAGAAGAAGCGTGTGTTTGAGGCGCCGCGGGCCCAGAACTACTACCATGTGGAGTACTACCTGCTTCCTGACGAGGAGGAACTCACCAAGACCGACATCGTCACATATGGCATGGCAGCCAAGATATACATGGAGAGACACGACCCCCGCGTCATCAAAACGTGGCAAGACGGTGACGTCACGTGGATCGCCTGGGCCAATACGTAAGTACTCTGCTAATTGTTTAATCAACATTTAGCAGGGCTCCAGATAAGGGCCATATCGGCGTGTATACGTATAAAAAATATGCACGATACGGTTGGAAATAATTTAGTAAATGTATCAGATACGCACCACGGCAATGGTGTACGGTCTTAGAATCATTTACAGAAGTATTTATCAGAATATTGTTCATTGACCTGTTTATACAAGAGTAGCAATGTTGTGGTGCATATATGAAACGAAACACAAGATACTGATACGCCATTAAATTCCATTCAGTACTCTAAATGTACTCTTAAGTTTTCTCCAGTACTCTTATATTGAAAAAATAAGGAGTACATACTCCTGATGTTGAAAAATTATCTGGAGCCCTGATTTAGTTTAATCATCGTTGCCTTATTCTAAACATATTGTTTTCTCAAATGGTTCCATTTACACTTTGTTTACCTTATCATAAACATATTGATTCTTTAAATTGCCTCTTATTCTAAATGTTTGGAGAATGATTTCTTAGTCTTAAGTATTTACCAAAATAAATATTGTTTACAAAACATGCTGAAATAATTCTGAATATAACGTTCCCAGAAAATACATTCTCATAACAAACATATTGTCTCCTCAAATGATGCGTATTCTAAAGTGTTTGTTGCGACAAATAGTTTTCCCAACATACACAAATAAGTCCTAATTTTAATCATATTGTTCACTCAAATAAATTCTTATTAAAAGTTATGTCTGCTTGAATGTTATCTTATTGAAAATGTAATGTAATTTCCTTATTCATAAAATATTGTTTATTAAAATTAATCCTTTATGAAAACATTGTTTACATAAATAAGTCATTATCCTAATATGGTTGTTTACTCAAAGTAAACATTATTCTCAACATAGAGTTGATACTACTTAACATTTTTCTGCATTGAACTGAAAATAGTTAAATTTCAAAATTATTAATAAAAATAAGGCCACTTATATGCCACCGAACTCTACACCGCTGGGGCATGCTCATATTGCATACAATTGAAAAGATGAACAATTGTCAGCAATTCAGGATGGGTTTCTAGACCAGATTTAAAGGCAGTCGCAGTCATGGAAGGAGCTTCTGAGGTGAAGAGAGTTCCTAAGCACAGCGGCAGTGTTTTAATTGCACGCGACCAGAGCAATTTGTCACCTGCTGATGACTCTTGGGATACACTTGGGAACAACTGTGACAAATTCACACTCTATTTCCTGGGCCCTGTTCAACAAAATGATCATAGCGCTAAGATGATCCTAACTCCCATACTTTAACATAGATTTACGACTGTCAAAGTGCTACGATCGCTTTGAGGAACAGGGCACTGGACATAGGGAAAACATTAACAGTGTTTACTGTTATAATAGGATTATAATTAATATAATATTAGGGTAGTATTATATAATATAATTAATTATGTAGGATTATAATTTGAAAGTATTTAACTTTAAAACCATTCAATTACCTATGGATAAAACGTTAATTTATTAGAAAAGCAACTCTGTATGTATGTTTGCTAATCAATAGAAACAAGCTATGCAGTGGTTACAATCTAACTGTCTGAACCCTGTGGTCTGTTCCACAACCAACTGGAAGCTCTCCTTGCTCTTGTCAAACAAGCTCAGAAGACTGTATGTCAACCAGTGCTTGTGCCATTGATCGAATAATTGGTCGATTGATTGATCTCGCGTGCATTAGCGATTAGCTCAGGAGATTAATCAGTATTCATAAAAAATGAAACAACAAATTAAACTTTAGAAAATATGTTTCTTATTGTTATGTTTGTTAAATCAAGACATAAACAAGTGATGCAGTTTCCTGACTCGTAAAACAGCAATGTAAACAACATACTCGTGTGTGTGTCTAAACAGGAAGTATATCAATAGTCTTGATCATGGTATTAATCGGTGCACGATGTTATGATTGTGTCATGTTATTGCCTACGTGGGTTTTGTGGTGGGGTTTACGATTACAATCAATTGTTGATCGATTTCTGAGCTCCATTTATGGATCTACATGTTTTGAACAATAACCAGCACTAGTGTCTACATCTGCAGGTGAACTATTTCACATTCTATGGGAACAGCACAAGTACACCCCCAGATATCAGATGTTTATCAGATAAGATTTACGTGTCATTTATTCCCACTTATAATATGTCAATGTACTTAGTTGTCAATTAGTTGTGGTGTTGTGTGGTCCTGTGTGTAGAGCTCAGGTCACAAATCAGTTGAAGTTAAGCAACGTCTGGCGCGGAGAGTCCTTGGATGGGTGATCGTGTTTGGCAGCTTGACTCCTGAGAGTTTCTAGGACTTCAGTCCTGCCCCACAATGAAGTAGATGTGATACATGTGGTCTTACCTTAGGCAACTGAGTTTGTTCAAACTTGCCTCTGTTCACCTAGCAGAAAATGGGTACCTGGTGGGATAAGTCATGTGACTAACCTTCTAGCGCCTCACAGGCAGCTTGGGTTATCTGGGGTAATAATAATCAGATTTGAACATGCCCCTCCATGGTGCGGAATTCAGCACATTACGAATGCCCTTATTATTATCATAATTATCATATTTCAATACAAATGTAACTCACTGCTGAATGTAATCAGAGTAATGTAGCCTGAAATATAACAACATTCATATTTGTTCTTATGTAGTAGGGGCTGTGGGGTAGCCTAGTGGTTAAAAATAACAGGCTAGGTTGAATCCCCACATGGGTACAATGTGTGAAGCCCATTTCTATCCCCGCCGTGATATTTGTCAGTCAGTCAGTCAGTCTTATGTAGTAAAAATGGGATGATGTGCATTCCAGTCGCTGAAATGTCTTGACTTTCCACTGTACATCAGTTGTATTTTACTAACTTTTCACTCTGCAGTGACAATATGTCCTTGTTTGATGAAGATAATTGATTTAATACATTGTATCTTCTTTTATAACTTGGATCTTTTAACTTCTTGTTTTTCTAATTCAATAACGATTTGTTGACACTCAATTTCCAAAGACTGATCATAATGAAAAGATGAATGAAGGTTACTAAGGTAACACAAATACTATGGGTCTATGTGTCTGGGTATTAACTTTGGCCTTGACCCAGCCCTAGTCTACACATATTTATGTCTTCATTGAATGTACGTGTTTTAAGGATAAGGCTAACTAGTATTATTTACCTAGTTTTGAATCTAAGACCAGGGAGGTTCTCATGAAGTATTTAACTTTTGAATTAGTGACTTTTGAAACAGGACTGCTTGAATGTCTTCTTCAGACCACACATACCTATCGGACAGTGATACTGCTTTATGTTCCTTCCATTGTCTTCTAAATGCTACTGTTAGAATATCGTGAGGACTTAGGTCAAGGTCAGGAAATGTTTGCAGTTAATTGGGCTTAAATTATTATTACTTTAATTACAGTGAAACGGGACCTTTCTTAGAAAAGGCTGAGGCCAAATTAGTGAAAAGGTCAAGGTCAAGGTGTTTGTGAGACATGGTTAATTTGTTGTTGTCAGTTTCTGAGGCTTAGCTACCACTGCATGCCAGAAACTTTATAGTTACATGTATATTTGCAGATTGTACGAAATCAAATGTGGCATATTTCTCAACATGTAGGTAATTGTGAGGTTCTTGAGAAAAGTGGTTGTACATTGCAAATAAATTACTCTTACACATTCAGTACAGTTCTGTCATTAGGCAGATGTCGCATCTGATGAAGTAGGTCAAGGTCATTGTTGAAGGTTGGATTAAGTAAGTAATCACAAAGGTGATTTGACTGCCTGTGTGGTTTAAATAAACATGGGATGGGATTTGAATAAAGATGGGAAGGGATTTAAATGATGGGATTGTGTATTGATAGTAGTGAGTAAGTGAGGTTTTACACCACTGTTAGCAACATTACAGCATATCACAGCAGGGGACACCAGTAATGGGTTTCGCAGATTGTACCCAGGTGTGGAACTCATCTCTTAAATAGGTATTGGTTGTAGTGTGACCATCACAGTAGACTCACTCTTGACATCATAACCTGGGCACCGTTTCCTCAAAGCGATCGTAGTGCTACGATTGTCGTAAGTCTAAGTTAACGTATGGGAGTTACGATCATCTTAGGGCTAAGATCGTTTTGTGGATTGGGGCCCAGGCTCTTTAGTGTGTTTGATGGTGTTATCACAGACATTTGAGTGGGTGTTATCACAGACATTTGAGTGAGTGAGTTTTACACCGCTTTTAGCAATATTCCAGCAATATCACGGCAGGGGACACCAGAAATGGGCTTCACACATGGGGAATCAAACCCGGGTCTCCAGTGTGACACCTTAACCACTAGGCTAGCCCACCGCCCCTTATCACAGACCGACACTGATAGGATACGTAAACCAACCTCAGGGATACATGGATCGTAGTAGTATTGAGATAACTTGTATCTTTTCTGTCTTGATTTCCCACGATGGTAATTCAATTCAAATTGTAATTCAAAGTGAAAAGACCTTTCCTCTTACATGGCTTGATTATGAAGACTTAGTAACATCATCCTCACCGTCAAATGGTCATATGTCTGAATATAATTTACATAATGATTCACTTAGAAATGTCAAGACTGTCCATGATTGTTTGAAATAGGTTTATCTGGAGGTCGCCTATCAAAAGTCCAAGAGTGAGTGAGTAAGGTTTTATGCCACTTTAAGCAATATTCCAGCAATATCAATGAGAAGGAAGTGTGCTGCACGTATTGTCTGTTTAAATTTGTTTGTTGTTTAAAGCCACACTCAGCAATATTCCAGCTTTATGGCAGCAGTCTGTAAATAATTGAGTCTGGGCCAGACAATCCAATGATCAACATCATGAGCATCAATCAACTCAGTTGGGATACAATGACATGTTTAAACCTTGTCAGGAGCCTGACCACCCAATCTCTCGCTTCTTACTGCAGATATTGTACCCATTTGGGAAATCCAACCTAAGTCTTCAGATTTAACCACTGGACTACCCACTGTCCCAAAAGTCAAAGAGATTTGTGACATGATTCAATAATCTGTTTTTATTTAGTCTCAGAAACAACTAAAAAGACAAACATTCAGTCACATAATCATGGAAACAAATTTATTCAGTGAAATTCGTGCAAAGATTATGGATATGAAGTGTATTTAAAATAATCTTAGAACCACGAGGTCCAGAGAGAGGAAATATATTCCAGCAATATAAGGACACCAGAAATGGGTACATCGCAACCATGTGGGGAATCGAACCCGGATCTTTGGCATGATGAGCGAGGCTGATGTTTATGAGTTTGAATCCCATGGTTGATGGTTTCTTGCCCAGACATCACTTTACCCAGACTCACAGGTTTCACTAATGTTGTACATTTCATTACTGTGATATAACAGAACACTGTTCAGTAATACAGTGACCCAGATAGCATTCGGACGTTGGCCCAACGTTGGCAATGTTGGCAAAACCATTGCCATCGTTGGGCCAACGTCTGAATGCTATCTGGGTCACTGTATTACTGAACAGTTTTTATGCTTCTCTAATGAAGCTTAGACTCTTCGTTGGTGTTTTTGTTTGGGTTTAGACTTATGTTCTCTGATGTGATCTAGTTATGTGCTGTGTTTTACTGATCTAGTTACGTTATTTACCACTAAAAATCACTTTACCTCAGAATCAATCATGTCTCGCGACCTTTTATCCCAAGAGTTTTAGTCACTTTGACATTTTCACCGTATTTGTTTTTTCCCATTCGCTCTACGTCCTGATGCTAAATTTAGCCATCAATTATATCTTTTTTGTGAAATAACGAACAATGAACATGATATTAATTGATATTAAGCGATATTGATTAAAACAAATGGCAGTAGAATATTTCGACTTGATCAGATTTTGATAGGACATATTGGATGTCAGTCAGTCAATGTCATTTTAACTTTTGTAGTTGGTCTTGGTTGTTTTACGTCGCACTCAGAAATATTCCAGCTATATGGCGGCGGTCTGTAAATAATGGAGTCTAGACAAGACAGTCCAGTGATCAACAGCATGAGCATCAATCTACCCAATTGGGATACACGATGACACGTGTCAACCAAGTCAGAGAGTGTGGCGTTAAACAACAACCAACTTACTCTCCGACAAACAAACTTACACTCATTTGCAAGACATCGATGTATGTTAATGTAGTTTCACCTCAAAACAAGATATTGCCTACATTTGTATGACTGATAAGTACTTAGCCTCCCATGGAAGGGATTGTACTGTAATAATGAAATCATTTAATGTTGACACTGCATGATGTCAAAGTATTGTCCACAAAAACTTTCAAGAGTCAGTTGTGCAACAGTACATTACACTTGTAGAGAACACACTTGTAATAAACTGATGGTTATAATTAACAGCTTTCCTGGCAATTTACCATGTCAACTGCTGTAAACTGTGTATTTCATACTTTGGCACCAAATGAAGCCAGACCACGCGCCAATGAAAGAGCGCCATTGAAGCTCAGGAAAGATGAGTTGCTCCATCAAGACAGTGCATCAGTCCACAAACCTATTGTTGCCATAGCTACAATCCACAAGCATGGTTTAAACTCCTTCAGCATCCACCTTTGCTTGAGTCAGCCTCATCTGACTTCACATGCTCTCCTGTCTAGACAGATAGCCATTTGGAATCAAACCATGTCGTGGCACAGAGAGTGATTGAGTGAGTTTAGTTTTACGCCGCTTTTAGTAATATCCCAGCAATATCATGGCGGGGAGACACCAGTAATGGGCGTCATACATTGTACCCATGTGGGGAATCGAACCCGGGTCTTCGGCGTGACGAGCAAACCCTTTAACCACTAGGCTACCCCACCGCCCCCATGGCATAGAAAAGAACTTTTACGAAACAAGATCCCTCAGACAGCAATGTGTTTCAATGAGGATGGGTATTTTGTTGAAAAATAATTCATTTTCATGTCGAAGGGGATTTTGTTTTTAATTTTTTTTTAATGTCTTTAAGTGTGTCGTTCTTTATGAGGCTCAGAACCTATCAGTCAGTCTTTATATTTCCTGGAAAAACAGGTAGTAAAAAATCTAACATCAGCTTTAGTTCACCTGCCAGTTGTAGTAAATGTTTTTCACATTTGAGTCCAAATGAGTTGACAAAAGCAAGTCTATCATGAAAATGTTGACTTTTTAGACACCTGTACTTTGTCAAAAATGATGTATAAATGTTTGATGACATGAGAGCACATAAAACATGAACCTGCTCAGTAGAAAGTTTTAATCATCTAAAATACTCAAGATGGATGCCACTTCATTGTGTCCACAAGGGAGGTCTCGAGACATGCTCTGGGACTGATCCCAACTTAACAAAATGAAACGATTCCCAATACATGAAAATAAATGTGTGCGATAAGTGTGATCTGAACATTATAAATACATGCAGCTAAAAACAAGATTAAAAAATACATGGATTTCAATTTCCTATATGGATCAGCCTTCTCTCTATGTGTGGGGCCCAATCGTCACAGCAGAACATGACTACGTTGGTTCTGTAACGGAGATGTTTGATACAAGTAAACATTTCATCCAATTTATGACTCTGTTGGAATCACTTGGGGAGTTCTTGACAATAATCCATACTAATGTACAGCTTCTGATAAGAGTGAAATTGGACTATGTTCAACTTTTATCTGATTGCATTTTTTCTCGATCCGTTGTAGGATCTCTTCCTACACTAACGTCCATTGCCCATTAGGTTATTGGATGATCATTGTAAGGCTTATATACTATTTTCTTTTACAGTTTTGGTAAATTCTCAGATAATGGAATTTAAGGTATAGTTTTCTTTTGGAAACGTTGACAGTTAAACAGTACAGAAGTCTGCCCTGTCTCGATGCATGCTAGATGTAATTAGTCCATAGAGTAACAAAATTAGCCACAGTCGTGAAGCCGAGATGAAGAAAGTCCTCAGAGTTTTATATTAGATTAAAGTTGGTTATAACCCTCGTGGTGATGAGAGGCTGTAGTTGTTGGGTTTAATCACCGTCCGTCTTAATGGAATCTATAAATACCATCAAATTTATTGCAAAAATTAAATTACTGTCGGTGAAATTATACAAGCTGTGATATGGGATTTGTTTCCTCCCACACCGACGTCCATTCTACATCGTGTGATTTTCCTGATCCGATCCCTCATCCCATGGGATGGTCTTCCTTAAAAGCCGCGACATCGGAAGTGACTTTTAGCCGTTCCATATGCATTGCAGTCTCAATGGCAATTCCCTCCTTCTAAATGATATTGTGTCATATCTGAGAGACAGGCTTCACACAACAACAATGAATACTGACAGTTATTGATTTTGCGGTGTAATTGCTATGATAAACATTCATTTCTCCTGGCCTCACGTGTGTCTCGGAGCAATTATTTTCAATTATTTCATCACAGTGTATGACTTTCCCCATCGATCATGCTAGTTATTTGTAAACGAGCCATAAGAACAATGAGTTAAAATTGACATGTTTACTTTCACAGACACGTAGTGACCGTGACCAGGGAGGTTCTTCTCAAAATGTTTAATCACAAGATTGAACTCCGTGTGTGGGACACAAAGGATAAAGTCTCAACGAGAGCCAGATTTGATCGGCCGAAGGCGTTCCGACTCCCACAAGCGAAACCAGGTAAGAATGGCAGACAGTTCCTCTTTTGGCGCTCATAGTTACACAAGGGAGACAGGCATGAATTAGTTGCTACTATGATTTGTGTATTGATCTTTGAAAGTATTTCAGAATCTGCCTAAAGCTTAGAGTGAAAAAACCTGTTAGTTTCCCTTCTCTGGTTAAACACATGCATGAATAAGATTTTCATTTCAAGTTTGTCTGGTTGTCCGAGACGTCTTACTGGGTAGTTATCAGTTTGTAGTTGAGGCAATTGATTTATATGAAACCGTGTAAATATACATAGGAATAGCTCAGTATGTGCAGCCTTGATCATTCATGCAAGTCCGCTGTATGGAGACTTCTAAATTGTTCCGAGGACCAGTAGAACTCCAATGATGTTAGTCTTCTTGACTAGTTGTATACAAGGACTGTTTGACTGATTGATTCTTGACAGTTGTCAGTTCTTCAGTCTTGCACGCAAATTTAAACTGAATAAACAGAAATTATCAACATTTTGTTTCATTCATTCAAGAAACAGAAAAAGTCATTTCCGCTATTCTTCTTGACTATTCTTTAAATACTTGATTTCTTGGATGAATTTGGAAGAATATCCGTGACACATAATATTACAAAATAGAGTTCAATAACTAAGCGACAGGTTTATAATTTCTGGCAACTTTAATCATCATGTCATGGAATTGTTGAGCTCAGTTCTTCAGTCAAGTTCTTTCTCAGTACAATATGTTGTGAAGATCTGTGTTTAGCACCATCAAATATTGCTCAGCATACTTCTGTGTATTTAAAGGGACCTTTGATATTCCATTGTCCAGATGAAACTGTTACTGGCCATGACCTTGCTAATGAGCATAGTAATTAACTTGACAGCAGTGGTAAATATCTAAGACAAGATCACTTCTGGGATTCCTTCCCCTATTGAGGTTACTATTTAACTTACACGTAAAGGTCCGGGTTAGAATATTGATCTTCAGTAACCCATGCTTGTCATAAGAGGCCTAACGGGATCGGGTGGTCAGGCTCGCTGACTTGGTTGACACATGTCATCGGTTCCCAATTGCACAGATCGATGCTCATGCTGTTGATCACTGGATTGTCTGGTCCAGACTCGATTTTTTACAGCCCGCTGCCAAATAGCTGGAATATTGCTGAGTGTGGCGTAAAACTCAACTCACTGACTCACTCACTCACTATTTAACTTAGATTAATTTCCAGTTCGAAACAGTGTTAAACCCGACTTACTCCTTCGTCTTGAGTGTAATGTTAAGTTTGAATTTTAGATCCTCTTCTTGTTTGTGTTACTTTGGAGGACTGTAGGGGCTACATATTTGAAGCAAATATTTTTAAGTGTTACGTCAGGTGGTAAAAATGTCATTGCAATGGTAATTTTATTCAAAACATATTTTTAATAAAGCAATGAATTTATCAGTGTTATTGTTATTGTACAGCTGGATATTAATATGTATAGCGTGTGACTAGTTTTTGTAAATATTGATTTCTGTAGTCTCAGTTTAATAAACTTTGGCCATAAACAAAACTTGAATGTATACAGTATTTTCTGGTAAGACAAAGCATTTATGAATATTTTTATGGTTTGCTTATGGGCTTATCTGAATATGAGATCATTTGAGCAGAGTGCATGAGTGAGTGTCTAAGTTGGGTTTTAACAATATTCTCGCAACAGTCTACCATTATCAATCTTTTACATTTATGATGACAAATCCTTTATATAAGAATGGTTACAGACTTTATACGTCAATGTTATAGGTGAGGAAAATAGGGTTTAACTTCACATTTAAGATTATTTCATGTATATAGCAGTGTACATGCATGTTTGTTCATGCAAGCTTGTCAGGCTTTGTACCAAGTTATAGTGCCATCCCACTGAGATACCATGCCACAGTTTTACATGTATACCTCACTCAGACTCTATTCTCCAAGCTGTCCACCAATTGCCTTATTCTTCTTGAGCATCAGGCAGGGTGACAACAAGTGCCATCTTTTGGTTGGATGTGGCCAAGGGTTAAGGCCAGACCAATGTTATGTCTTGTTTTACGGATCCGCTGGTCATATTTTTTCAAGAATAAGAAAAAAAATATAAATGAATTTTCTCCGCTCAAACAATTAATCCTAATGTTGTTATTGGCCACAAATGTAAACTTACAAGAAATTCTTTTTAGACTGCTTTTTGCCCATATACATTTCACAAATTGCCAAAAGTAAAATACTATTAGTATTTAAATGGAATATTACTTTGACTGGTGATTTTTTATTCTTTTTCATTTTGCCTCCTGCCTTTAGGTTTTCGGAGGACAAAAATCCGTAAAACAAGAAATAAAATTGGTCTGGCCTAATGTTCATACCACAATAGAACCAGAACGATTTTCTTGGAAAAATAAAATCAGATCCTAGAGCTGGTTACTGCTGCATAGAGATTTAATGATATCCCATTACAGGTCACAGACGACCTTTCATCTGACCAATCAGAGAGCATCATTTACAAGATCACAAAAGGAAAAGGCCTAACATGTTTTCTAATCAAGCCATCTCGAAAAGTTGACGCGGGTCATTCTGAATGTCAGTCATATGCTCTACAACCCAGACATTGGCTCATCACGCCGAAGACCCGGGTTCGATTCCCCACATGGGCACAATGTGTTAAGCCCATTTCTGGTGTCCCCCGCCGTGATATTGCTGGAATATTGCTAAAAGCGGGAAAAACTAAACTCAGTCAGTCAGTCTACAACCCAGATAGATGGAAATGGAAATGATATGCTAGACATTTAAAACAAAAGAGACTCTCCATATCCCATAGGAAGTACTGTCATAACATCTCAGCAAGCTGTTTGACATTTCAGGTTATTCTCTCTTTTTTTTCAAAAGCATTGCATGGTACGGAAATCACCATTTTGAAACAAGTGTTATGAAGCTTGAGAAAGCTGCTTTTCGACTGGAAATGTTGAATTCTCGTATTCATTTCAATGATTGGTAACATTTTGCAAAAGGTCATTGTGACAGGACCAATAACAAGCAGTCCGCAGATCTTTGTCCCCGGCAGCAAGCAGTAAGAGCTGATTGTGGTGACACTGATGGATGTCTGTCTGAAGGGAGCAATATTTTACTGATGATAAAATGGCTGTCATATGATCAGATATACTTTTTATGATGTTGTCACTCTTTTCCACTTTGTGTATATTGTTTTGATGTGTTTTTATTCTAAAGCCAAACAGCCACCATGTGGTAAGTGATTAAGCTAAATAGTAGATGTTGAAATCGTAGAAATAGAGTTGACATTTTCTAAAGTATTTCCGTAGTATCTGACGTCTATTCTGCAGCTCAAATACTGTGTAGCAAAGACTCATAAGCTTTAACATTTGATACTGGGACTGGAGAAGTCGAAGATACAATCGTCGTAATCGGGATTGTGTGCAAAACATTAAGTTTTTCCCAGCTAGGTTGACAAATATTTCACATGCTGTTTGCAAGGTTTCTGTGTCTGTTCTCCTGTCTGTGATATCTTTTTCCGAAAAAATTCTTTTCCTTTTTCTATGGATTCTATTGATTATGAGAAACCCCCAAAATGGTAACTTATCATAAGGATATCCATTGGCTGTCATGTGAAATAGATTCAACACATTAGTCATGGTAAAGGTTCCACAGTGCAGTGCCAGCTTGGAACCATTCTACATCAGTCCAGTATATAATACGTCAGTACAGCTGGATGTACTTGCAGAACCAATGTGTAATAAAAACTTTGGAGTCGACTAACACGAACTTGGCTTGTAGCTTCATCTTCAGTAGCTTGTAGTGTATTAATATGGACTCTTGTTAGCATACTGGACCAAACAGAGTTTTACCAAACTTGGACTTGGGACAGGTTGTTAAAGTCGCAGGCAGGGGTAGTCTGTGTGCACTCAAATCTGCTATGGAATGACTTTGTGGGCTCAGGCATAGACATTATACTTACCTTGATTGTCTTAGTACTAAGATGACTTTGTGTTAGTGGGCCCTAGCTGATACAACATCATGCTTACCAATGATAGTCTTCCTAAGATGACTTTGTGTTAATGGGCCCAAGCTGATACAACATCATGCTTACCTTGATTGTCTTAGTACTAAGATGACTTTGTGTTAGTGGGCCCAAGCTGATACAACATCATGCTTACCTTGATTGTCTTAGTACTAAGATGACTTTGTGTTAGTGGTCCCAAGCTGATACAACATCATACTTACCTTGATTGTCTTAGTACTAAGATGACTTTGTGTTAGTGGGCCCTAGCTGATACAACATCATACTTACCTTTGATTGTCTTAGTACTAAGATGACTTTGTGTTAGTGGGCATCCTAGCTGATACAACATCATACTTACCTTGATTGTCTTAGTACTAAGATGACTTTGTGTTAGTGGGCCCTAGCTGATACAACATCATACTTACCTTGATTGTCTTAGTACTAAGATGACTTTGTGTTAGTGGGCCCAAGCTGATACAACATCATACTTACCTTTGATTGTCTTAGTACTAAGATGACTTTGTGTTAGTGGTCCCAAGCTGATACAACATCATACTTACCTTGATTGTCTTAGTACTAAGATGACTTTGTGTTAGTGGTCCCAAACTGATACAACATCATACTTACTTACCAATGATAGTCTTAGTACTAAGATGACTTTGTGTTAGTGGGCCCTAGCTGATACAACATCATGCTTACCAATGATAGTCTTAGTACTAAGATGACTTTGTGTTAGTGGGCCCTAGCTGATACAACATCATACTTACCAATGATTGTCTTAGTACTAAGATGACTTTGTGTTAGTGGTCCCAAGCTGATACAACATCATACTTACCTTTGATTGTCTTAGTACTAAGATGACTTTGTGTTAGTGGTCCCAAACTGATACAACATCATACTTACCAATGATAGTCTTAGTACTAAGATGACTTTGTGTTAGTGGGCCCAAGCTGATGCAACATCATACTTACCTTGATTGTCTTAGTACTAAGATGACTTTGTGTTAGTGGGCCCAAGCTGATACAACATCATGCTTACCAATGATAGTCTTAGTACTAAGATGACTTTGTGTTAGTGGGCCCAAGCTGATACAACATCATACTTACCTTGATTGTCTTAGTACTAAGATGACTTTGTGTTAGTGGGCCCTAGCTGATACAACATCATACTTACCTTGATTGTCTTAGTACTAAGATGACTTTGTGTTAGTGGGCCCTAGCTGATACAACATCATGCTTACCAATGATAGTCTTAGTACTAAGATGACTTTGTGTTAGTGGGCCCTAGCTGATACAACATCATGCTTACCAATGATAGTCTTAGTACTAAGATGACTTTGTGTTAGTGGGCCCAAGCTGATACAACATCATACTTACCTTGATTGTCTTAGTACTAAGATGACTTTGTGTTAGTGGTCCCAAGCTGATACAACATCATACTTACCTTGATTGTCTTAGTACTAAGATGACTTTGTGTTAGTGGGCCCAAGCTGATACAACATCATGCTTACCAATGATAGTCTTAGTACTAAGATGACTTTGTGTTAGTGGGCCCTAGCTGATACAACATCATGCTTACCAATGATAGTCTTAGTACTAAGATGACTTTGTGTTAGTGGGCCCAAGCTGATACAACATCATGCTTACTCAATGATTGTCTTAGTACTAAGATGACTTTGTGTTAGTGGGCCCAAGCTGATACAACATCATGCTTACCAATGATAGTCTTAGTACTAAGATGACTTTTGTGTTAGTGGGCCCAAGCTGATACAACATCATGCTTACCTTTGATAGTCTTAGTACTAAGATGACTTTGTGTTAGTGGGCCCAAGCTGATACAACATCATACTTACCTTGATTGTCTTAGTACTAAGATGACTTTGTGTTAGTGGGCTCAAGCTGATACAACATCATGCTTACCAATGATAGTCTTAGTACCAAGATGACTTTGTGTTTGGGCCCAAGCTGTGTTAGTACTAAGATGACTTTGTGTTAGTGGGCCCAAGCTGATACAACATCATGCTTACCTTTGATTGTCTTAGTACTAAGATGACTTTGTGTTAGTGGGCCCAAGCTGATACAACATCATGCTTACTTTGATTGTTTTAGTACTAAAATGATTTAGTTGACTCTATCTGATACAGCATTAAACTTACCAATGATAGTCTTAGCATTAAGATGACTTTGTGTAACTGGTCCCTGGTTGATATAGCATGTGATCAAACCCTGATGTCATAGGCAGCTGATCTGATACTGCGTGGAAACATTGTACACCACAGTGTCAAACCACCACCAGTCTTTCGTCCCATGTGTCGTACCTGGCATAAGTCTGAACCAATTTTTCCATGATCTCATATCTGATGAACCAAAAAAATGACTGTGATTTCCCAGAAGGGCCATTACTTCACACAATATGGCAATTTCGTGACACAACATAGATTTACCCAGACAATTTTTAATAAACTGGCCACAGGAAAGTACAACAAAAAATCAGGGCTGGAATCAGTCTTTAACAAATGTGCCAACATTGCCCGTGTTTATATGAAACATCCAGTTTATATCGTGCATTATTGATTCCGACTTCATGACCAAGCCGTGACTCCCGTTTGTAGGACGGTTGTAACTTGCCCCTCAATCTGCGATATTTATCTAAATAGCTTCTTGGAGAACACTTTATTATTGACCAAGCGAGAATGTACAACTAGGTAGCCCCTCCAGGCTGGGAGGGACATCGCTTGATGGCAGGCTCGGAAGATGAACAGCAGCGTAGGATCGATATGTGCAACAAGTTTTGATTTTGATTTGTTGTAGTAGAAGATGCTGGGATGGGTGCGAAATTGTTGTGTTTGGCATTTTGTAGTTTTGATTGATTAGAGTTGGGGCAGATGTGGATAGCGTCATATGAGGTAAGTTTTGGATCAAGATGTAGTCTGCTTTCATTGTCTTTGCGTTGTTTTTATATGTAGAGAGGGTATTTATGTATATCTAGATGTGTGTGAAATCTGGTCTTTTTTCTAGAAACTGATTCTATATTAGCTTTAATTCTACATTTCCTAGTGTGGCTCTAGATATGCTCGAGGAAATTAATTCAGCTTTATTAAAATGAGCATATTTTGCAAAAGTAATTGAGATCACCATGATTGTTTTTGCAACAGTATTTACTATGTATGCCGACTTTACTTTAGTGGTGTTAGCAGTAAGTAATTCATTTGCTGTATCGTGTCCTGGTTAACTCCAGCTCATACAACTCATGCACACATATTGTGAGGGTCAAGCATTGCAGCCCATGCATTTGGTTTATACAGCTCATGTTTACCAACCATGCTTGTAGTTAATGCAACCATTCATATAGATTATGCATCTCATTCCTTTTACAGGCATGAACACAGCTCATGCAACTGGCTCGTCCATTAACAATTCATGCCAGTGGGTTATGCAGTTCCTACATAACTCCATACAGTATATTCTGTTACTACAGCTCTATACCATCCTTACATACAGTTCTGTGTCTTACATCCCACTCAGCTCATGGTGTTCCTACAAGTGTTCCTACAGTTTGGTGTTCCTACCATCCTTACATACAGTTTTGTGTCTTACATCCCACTCCCAGCTCATGGTGTTCCTTACATACAGTTTTGGTGTTCCTACATGGTCTCTATACCATCCTTACATACAGTTCTGTGTCTTACATCCCACTCAGCTCATGGTGTTCCTACATGGTGTTCCTACCATCCTTACATACAGTTCTGTGTCTTACAACCCACTCAGCTCATGGTGTTCCTACATGGTGTTCCTACCATCCTTACATACAGTTCTGTGTCTTTCAGCTCATGGTGTTCCTACTACCATCCTTACATACAGTTCTGTGTCTTACATCCCACTCAGCTCATGGTGTTCCTACATGGTGTTCCTACCATCCTTACAGTTCTGTGTCTTTCATGGTGTTCTGTGTACAGTTCTGTGTCACCCACCCACTCACATACAGTTCTGTGTCTTACAACCCACTCAGCTCATGGTGTTCCTACATGGTGTTCCTACCATCCTTACATACAGTTCTGTGTCTTACAACCCACTCAGCTCATGGTGTTCCTACATGGTGTTCCCTACCATCCTTACATACAGTTCTGTGTCTTACATCCCACTCAGCTCATGGTGTTCCTACATGGTGTTCCTACCACATACAGTTCTGTTTCTACATACAGTTCCTACCATCCTTACATACAGTTTTGTGTCTTACAACCCACTCAGCTACCCTACCACCCATCCACACAGCTCATGGTGTTCCTACATCTCTATACCATCCTTACATACAGTTCTGTGTCTTACAACCCACTCAGCTCATGGTGTTCCTACATGGTGTTCCTACCATCCTTACATACAGTTCTGTGTCTTGCAACCCACACAGGTCATGGTGTTCCTACAGTGAGTGAGTGAGTTTGGTTATTACACCGCTTTTAGCAATATTCCAGCAATATCACGGCGGGGGACACCAGAAATGGGCTTCACATATTGTACCCATGTGGGGAATCGAACCCAGGTTTTCGGCATGATGAGCGAACGCTTTAACCATTAGGCTACCCCATCGCCCCTGGTGTTCCTACATCTCTATTCCATCCTTACATACAGTTCTGTGTCTCCACACAAACCATGATGCTGCCATGTTCCAGTGATTCAGAGTGTACATGTATGCCACATTGCCACTTCCAGGCGAGGACCTTGACGAGATCGGTGGGGTGAAGGCCAGCGTGCTGAAACAGAGTGGCAGCTTCTCCAAGATGCAGCCGAAGAAAGGGAGTGCGGTCCGTCCACTGCCAGTCACCATCACCTACACCAAGTCAGATGGAGCAGCCAAGAGGAGAGGTAACCTCCCATCAGTTAAATACCCCTTAGTTGGACACCTTAGACACCTGTGAGTTTTCCAGCTTAACACAACACAATGTACTTTCGAGTGATGGTCGAGTCCATGTTATTAAAAATATTTCATACAGAAAATATTTTATTTTTGACCTTTTCAGTTGACCTTTTGCTGTTTTTGTTTTTATTCAGTTTGTTAGATTGTGATTATTGCTTCATCAATAAAGCTTTTTTATGAAAGATAAAACACATGCTAATTTCCCTCTGTGGCAAAAAGGGTGTTCAGACAGTTTGACCTTCCTGAAAAGATGTCTTTCATTACAAAATGAACGTTGACAAATAGGACTTAATATGTTTGAACGATCCACAATGACCCTAACTTGAGACAAGAGAGCTAGTATGACCCCCAAAAGCTGAGGTCACCATCTAAGAGCAATGTCTCTTACAACAAGAACCCACAAGAGATACAGCCACTTTAATTAACTTTCACTAATGAAAAAGTATCTGCTTTCTTCGTAGGCCGCTTGAGAGGAGGGGAGGAGGATGACTTTGATGAAGACAAGCTGTCTGACGCAGGTCAGCGTGACCCTGACAACAAAGGGGAATCCCCAAACAACGTGTCTCAAGCAGAAGAAGCTGCCCCTAGCCCCAACACTCTCATCGCCGTGGCTAACCGCGATGTTGGGGGACAGGACATCAGGTACCGACACATTTAATAATCCCGCAACATCCAAAACAAATTGGATTCAATTAGCAAAGACATTTTCAACAGAGAAGGAACGATTTGTGAAAAATTCATATCAGAATGCTAGTTTGAATTTGGATAATTGAATAAATATCATTTGATCTCGGTTTGTTTTATGACTCACAGATGTTGTTTTGGGGTTCTAGTGACCTATTAAATCGATTTTAAATGTCAGTTTCCAGTGAGCAAAGTTTTCCCAGAGGAGAATTTAACATTTGCAAAATCGTTTTATAACAGATGTTTAGTTAGAATTTGGTTGATCTTGAGGTTTGAAATATTTGGATTTGAAGTGTCTCAGATGAAATATAAGGAGCCCGTAGGGATTTTTGTCTCCAGCAACTGATGCTGGTGTTGATGCTGGCTGTGAGAGAGGTGAGGTGAAATTGGGTTTAACGTTGTGCTTGAGAATATTTCGCTCATATGACGACGTGCATGCGTGTGTATGTGTATGTGCGGCTGCTTGTACTAGCCCAGACTTAAGCTGGTTTTATAGTGCTAGCCCACTGAAGGGCCATGCCGCAGTGAAGCATGAATACCCCACTCAGACACATTATACTGACTCCGAGCTGACCAGTCCTTTTTGTACCCATTAATGCTGAACGCCAGACAGGACCAACAAGTACCATATTTTAACGTCTTTTGGTATGACGCGGTCGGGGATCGAACCCGCGACCTTCGGCTCTCCGGGCGGACGCTCTAACCACTACACCACGGAGACGGTCTGGCTGTGAGAGATGACTTGATGGGTGATGAGGCTGGGGACGTGATAGATGTCATTGTACGCCAGCGGTGTGGACCATCGCTGCCCATTTAAACTGTCTGGTCTAGACTTAAATATTTACAGCCTCCTGACATATACGTGAAATATTGCTGAGTGTGGTGTTGAACAACATGTAGGACTTCTTAAACCCTGACTACATTTGTTTAGCCACAGGGTGATAAAGTGGTGAGGCACACAATCAGTGTATTCGGTAGAGCACCATGCCCCTGTGTAAGTGAGCTGTGAAGATCAAGGTGAGAATTGATCTTCAGGAACAAGTGCTTATTCTAAGAGGCATTTTACGGGACTGCGGCTTAAGGCTTGCTGACTTGGTTGATGCTTGTCTTCATATCTAAAATGTGTAGATCAATTCTCATGACGTCAATCACTGTATTGTCTGGTCCAGATTCAATTTACAGACTGCAATTATATAGCTAGAGTATTACTGTGTGTGGCATTAGACAACAAACCTATGTCAGTTTCGTATAGTTGGTTGGCTTGTTGTTTAATGCCATACTCAGCAATATTCCAGCTATATGGCGGCGATCTGTAAATAATCAAATCCAGTTTCCTATGAGGTTGTACAGAGAATCTCTCCCCCTACAGGACATTCAGTCGGCTGGGGAAGCTTGCTGGAGCGGAGAGTCCGACACAGTCCCCCAGCAAGGAGTCCCGGATCAGTCGCCAGAGTGCGGAGAAGCTCCCAGTCGGGAAGTCCAGGAGTCCGTCCCAGTCATCCAAGGTCAAGAAGAACCAGGGGCAAAGTAGTCCCCGATGAGGTCGCAATCTGCCCTCCGGTCTGGAGACATGGATGGTAAGTCCACAGATAAAATATTGTTGTATTGGATGATAACTGACTTAAACTCAACTTAATATCTGGAATGTATTTCTTTGGAGAGTGAGTGGATATACACCAGAAATGGGCTTCACACATTGTACCCATGTGGGGAATCGAACCCAGGTCCTCAGCATGACACGCGAATGCCCCATATTTGTTTGAAAGTTAAGTAATTGTGAATATGAGATAAATATCAATATTGGTATATAAGTCCTCAGGTAAGATATGTGTCATATTGGCTGTTTTAATAACCTAGTTGATGATCTCAAAGTTAATATCTGGAACCTTTCTCTTGGGAAGATAAGTAATTGTGAATATGAGATAAATGCATTTAGATCCGATACAGCAATAGTCAGTACTTAACCAACTGATATAAAGAGTGAGTGAGTTTGGTTCTTCACCGCTTTTTGCAATATTCCAGCAATATCCCTGCTGGGGACACCAGAAATGACTGATTTAAAGAATTAAATCTACCACCATGTAGTTGATTACAAATGACATGTTTCTTATTGCTACTATTATTCAAACTGATAATACAAGATACAAAAATAGAAATATATGATCCCCAGGGAGTTGAGATTGATAACACAATGTGCCATTGAGATGACATCCAATGATCGAGGGGAAAAATACCAGCGCCTTGAGCAAGCACTAGTTGCCTGGATATGTGCGCTATATAAATATCATATAATAATAATAATAATAAATATAAAAGTAAAATATGTGTCATGTTGGCTGTTTTAGTAACTTAATTAAGAATCTCAAAATTAATACCTGGGAACTATTCTTGGGAAGTTTAGTAATTGTGAATATTGATATTGGTATTAATTTTTGTGTTGTGTTCAATGTTTGCGTGTGCACTTCTTACCTATGTTGGGATTAGTGATTAGTATGTGAGGCAGTGACTGATCACACAGATTGAATGTAGTTATTCACTTGCAAATATTATTATTATTATTATTATTATTATTAGCCTGTTATGCTCCTGGTACTATGCGTATTGGCTGTTAATACACACTATAAGAAGCCAGGCCTTCATACAGGACATATTCAAGAACTATCTTGTGACTTTGTTGAACAGATTTATACTCATAGGGCATATTCAAGAACTATCTTGTGACTTTGTTGAACAGATTTTTACTCATAGGGCATATTCAAGAACTATCTTGTGACTTTGTTGAACTGATTTTAACTCATAGGGCATATTCGAGAACTATCTTGTGAATTTGTTGAACCGATTTTTGCTCATAGGGCATATTCGAGAACTATCTTGTGAATTTGTTGAACAGATTTTTACTCATTGGGCATATTCGAGAACTATCTTGTGAATTTGTTGAACAGATTTTTACTCATAGGGCATATTCGAGACCTATCTTGTGAATTTGTTGAACAGATGTTTACTCATAGGGCATATTCAAGAACTATCTTGTGAATTTACTGAACAGATTTTTGCTCATAGGGCATATTCAAGAACTTTTTTTTTTAATTTGTTGAACAGATTTTACTCATAGGGCATATTCAAGAACTTTTTTTTTTAATTTGTTGAACAGATGTTTACTCATTGGGCATATTCAAGAACTATCTTGTGAATTTGTTGAACAGATTTTTACTCACAGGGCATATTCAAGAACTATTTTTTTTAATTTACTAAACAGATTTTTACTCATAGGGCTTATTCAAGACATTTTTTTTTAATTTGCTGAACAGATTTTTACTCATAGGGCATATTCAAGAACTTTTTTGTACATTTGCGGAACAGATTTTTACTCATAGGGCATATTCAAGAACTATTTTTGTGAATTTGCTGAACAGATTTTTACTCATAGGGCATATTCAAGAACTATTTTGTGAATTTGCTGAACAGATTTTTACTCATAGGGCATATTCAAGAACTATTTTGTGAATTTGCAGAACAGATTTTTACTCATAGGGCATATTCAAGAGCTTTTTTGTAAATTTGCTGAATAGATTTTTACTCAGCTCTTAGTAATATTATGGTGAGGAACACCAGAAATCAGTTCACATCTTGTACCCACATGAAGAATCAAATCTGTGTCTTTGGTGACACAAGCAAACCACGAGGCTACCTCACCACCTCTCTATGTTTATGTATAATGTAAAAACTCCTAGAAACAATTTTTACCTTTATGGGAATCAAACACTGGTCTTCAGGCTAATAGAACACTTTAACCACTAGGCTACCCGTCACTATGTATAATGTTATCAACCTCCAAGAACAGGGGCGGTGGGGTAGCCTAGTGGTTAAAGCGTTGGCTCATCACGCCGAAGACCCGGGTTCGATTCCCCACATGGGCACAATGTGTTTAGCCCATTTCTGGTGTCCCCCGCCATGATATTGCTGGAATATTGCTAAAAGCGACGTAAAACTAAACTCAGTCAGTCAGTCCAAGAACAATTTCTCTTATACAACCAGGGAGCACCTTACAGCCAATGGGTCGCAAGAGCGCCGTGAAGAGACGTAGCAAGAAAGCAGAAGCAGCAGCTGCAGAAGCTGCTGAGAAAACCAAGAAGTTAGGGATCTGTGTCGTCCCAATCAGGATGTCGCTGCTGTTTGCAGGTTCGTGTAGTAGCACAATATCCCAGAGTGGTAAGACAGTCACTGGTAACAGACTGACCAAACAATCCACAAACAACAGGATACTCTGATTTCCTAGAACATGCAAAATAACTTCAACCCCCTCCATGCTGCAGAGTATCTGATCCAAACATCCAGTATTAACTCCATGCCCTGCTGTTCACACTGTGGTTTAAGTTGTGTGGACCCTGGCTGAGTTTCAAGCCAGTGCATTAAATGGTTGCTATCCTCAGTAGGAAATGTTGATTAGCTCTCATGATGATGATGATGATGATGATGATGATGCACAACAGTTCTGCAACAATCCATCCAAACACAGGTTTTAAAACACCTTGTACACAATTGCCCATGACTTCATGTGCTTGGCCAGTCATCATTAAACTGATGTCCTGTAGGGGTTACCTAATCAGTCTGTACGAGCGTATTTCAAGCTATATTTGTTGGAGGAATTATTTATATCGTCAAAACTTAGCAAACTTTTGAGAGGTATATAATGCCTGTGTATAAACAAAACAGTGAAACAATGGGCATTCTGTGACCATAATTAATTGAAGGACTTTCATAGAAATCATATCAAATGTGTCACCTACATGCTTGATGAGACTCTGGCTTTGTGCGCTGTATACAGGTATGAAGAGCTTGACCGGTCGCCTGCAGAAACCTGTCCCTGGCATAGAGGACGTGTTCATCTCTGTGGCGCTGGACAGTCCACTGATGACAGACAAACAGAAGGCAGACCTCAACCCCATGATCATTAAGATCCAGTCGGCCACAAACCTGCCAGAAACACCCATGTCTTACCAGGAACTACAGACAAGGTGGGTGGTAGCAAGCTCAGACTGGCTGGTTGGTTGATTGGTTGGATGGCTGGTTGATTGGCTGACTGACTGGTTGGTTGACTGGCTGGTTGATTGGTTGACTGGCTGGTTGATTTTTTGACTGGCTGGTTGGTTAATTGGTTGGATGGCTGGTTGGTTGATTGATTGGATGGCTGATTGATTGGCTGGCTGACTGGTTGGTTGATTGATTGACTGGCTGACTGGTTGGTTGACTGGCTGGTTGATTTTTTGACTGGCTGGTTGGTTGATTGGTTGGATGGCTGGTTGGTTGATTGGTTGGATGGCTGATTGATTGATTGGCTGGCTGACTGGTTGGTTGATTGATTGACTGGCTGACTGGTTGGTTGACTGGCTGGTTGGTTGGTTGGCTTGTTGGCTGGCTGGCTGGCTGGCTGATTGACTGGCTCGTAGGTTGGTTGCCTCAAGTTAATATTCCGGCTGTATAATGTCAGTTTGTAAAACATTAAGTTATATATAGCTTAAAATTTGTCATGAGACAAATGCTTGTTATTCAACCTTTCAAATTTGAAAAGACTAATCAATTAATATGGTGATATATTATTAGATGTTGTATTAAAGTAAAGGCAGTTTGTCTTGACACACTAGACATGTGTTAAATGTCCATGAAATCAGAAGCAGGAAATACCAAATGTGGCATATTTTGATAGGAGGGCATGTCAAGCATCTGACACTGTGAAGTGTTGTTATGCAAGCAAGCATGTCAAACTTTGAACATAAACAAGCTAAATTTTATAAGCATTGCTTTTAGCGTGCCTTTAATCCAAAGCTTATTTGACAAGATTGCCAGGAACAAAGACACGAGAGGCTGGCAACTGTCACATTTTCTTCATCAGCTTGTTTAACAGGACCCAGATGTAACACGTTCCATCACGCTAGTGTTCTTGCAGAGCCAGGAATTGACTGGCGGTTCTGAACCTGCATTTAAGACAAGTAAAACTGACACAATTATTGGCCACCATTTAAAATTATGGAGAGATTATTTATTAACCACAAGATGGTTTAACTCAGAGAGTCTGTTGATTCCAAAAGTTCAATACTGAATCTCCTGATCTTTCGTTCGTTACAGAATTACAAAATCTGTTTCATGTAGATTTACTGAGTGCTTTACTGTGTGGTTTATAGTGAGTGAGTGAGTTTAGTTTTACGCCGCACTCAGCAATATTCCAGCTATATGGCGGCAGTCTGTAAATAATCAGGACCAGTCAATGCAGTGATCAACAGCATGAGCATCATTCTATGCAATTGGGATACAATGACATGTGTCAACCATGTCAGCGAGCCTGACCACCCGATCCCGTTAGTCGCCTCTTACGACAAGCATGGGTTGCTGAAGATCAATTCTAACCCGGATCTTCACAGGTTATATGTGGTTTATGTGTGTGTGTTAACTTAGTGTGACAGATAGTCAAGATAAAAATGTATCGTGTTATAAATGCATGCATGAGACACTTGATTTTGAATTTTTTAATGTTGTTATTTTGGGGTTGTTTTGTATATATAGCACAGGGTTCAAATATGTTCACAGCCTTAGAGTACATTTGACATTATTGGTAGGCTTTGAGTCATAAACCAAATTTAATTTTCAAATAAAATGCTCAATTTTTTTCTTGTTTGTGTTTTTGCTTCACCGACATGGAAATTTCATTTAATTGTTTTGCTCATTCTTGTAATACCATTGGAGTGAGTGAGTGAGTTAGTATTGATTTTTACCGCTTTTAGCAATATTTCAGCAATATTATCACGGGGGGACACCAGAAATGGGCTTCACACATTGTACCCATAATACCATTAGAGCATTAAATAAGTATTAGTAAAGTCAGTTTGATTTTATTTATGTAACACAAGTATGGATTTTATTGAAAATGTTTTTTGGATCCATTGGCATAAAATTTTCATTTAATTGTTTCTCTCTTTTTAATATCATTAGAGTATATGGTATTAGAAAAGTACCAGAAAAGTCATTTTAATTATATTTTCATAGCAAACTGAAAATGAAATTCAAATGTCTTTTACTTGAATAGAAAAGTTCAGATAACAAACAAACACGAGATATTACATGAGATATAATACTATAAGTATATGTGTTTTAGCAGATATTTCTGTTTTCAGATGCAAGCCAGTGTACTGTAAATATCAGTTCTTCAAACAGCCAGCACATGTCACCATGGGGAAGGACCATGCTCACAACATCTACTGGGACGACATCAGCGTAGCCCTGCTAGGTATGTCACATGCAAACCCATCGGGTATGTTGTCAGAACTGGGTGAATGTATGGGAGCATAGGCCTCTAGCACTGACAAGATCTGGAGGCAAAGGTGTAGGTAGAATAGGACCATTAACAGAACCCCTTAATGTGTCTTGTCTTGTCATGTTTTTCCTTGTCAGAATGGCCATTTTTTTAAGATTTACCGACAGTTTTGCCCTTTTCAGATTCTGTTAGCATTAAAGCCTATGCTGAGTATAATTAGGAGATAAACATCATGTGTTGGCCAATTTCCGGGTGTTATTAAGTATTTGAAGCACGGCAATTCATTTGGAACTGACGACATTAGCCGGAGGTTTCAAATGAAATATTCCCTTGCTTCAAATACTCAATAACACCCAGAAACTGGCCAACACATGATGTTTATCGACATTGTAAACACAAAAGTAAACCAAAAGATTCACACACGTTATTGTGTCTGCACTCATTGACATCGAGTACGAGTACATCAGTGAAATACCATCAGCCAGCCGTTTCGGCTGTCTCCCATGGTAGCATCTGGTAGCATTTGTGACGTCATTCGGACTTTATGTCACAGTACGATTTGAATGACGTCACCAGTGCTGACGACGTAACAATACAATGGTGTATGCGATGTTTGTACGCATTAATATGCAGCGAATGGTTATGCAATTGCCGGGAATCTAACACCATTCGATCATGTTTTTTTAACCAATAAGATTAAAGAACATGATGACTTTTGGTTTACAATGAATATTCAGTACATCTGATACCCTTTGTGACCTGTGTTACAAACTATGTGTCTGGGAGTACTTGTCAAGTGCTAGTGTTTGGAAAATAGTGATAGTTAGAAAAAATGTGGATAGATTTAGAAAGAAACAACTTACTACCTGAAACCTCCTGAATTAAATAACCTTAATGGTCTCAGTGCTACTGTCAAACATTTTAAATAGAGTGTGTCAATAGCTGTGCACATGCACACATTTGTCTGGCGAACAGCAGGACATCCTTAGATGAAGAAGGAAGGACTTTCTTTCTTATGAGAACAAAATCTGAATGGGGATGTAAGCTTCTTCTTTTTGGTCTGACCTGAAATTGAATAAGTCTAAAGCATAAAACCAAGAATTTATGGATGTCAAGCCTCAATGACCTGATGAAGGAGTAAGATTATACTCCGAAACGTTGTGTTCCTCAAAATATAGAAGTTGACTTCCATAAACTTGCGCCTTTATATGTATCAGATCTAATCGTCATTCAAAGTTTAAAGCAGGTCAGCATTTCTCATACTTTGATCTTTTATCATGACTAAACTAAGGCATACTTGTCCACAGCATGTAACAGAAAACCAACAAATCTCATGTTGGAAATGAGACATTGTTTTATAGATTGTGGTAAAACTGCTTCAAGTACAGGTTTTTATGAAAGTCCTGCTTCCTCAGAAACAATTATTGTGCCATAAATGAACTAGATTGGATTAATCTGCATGACCAGCCTTGAAGTACTGTGATAACATGATAAGTTGACTAAAGACATACTTAAACACCTTCAGGCACCATGGAGCAGTCGGAACTAAGGGAGTACCTGAATGGTCCGGCGCTGGAGATCGAGGTGCATGATCGCGACAGGAAGGAAGAGAAGGTCAAGCTGAAGGCCACATTGTTTGGGGATGACCTTGAAGATGAAAAGATCAGTAGTGTTGGCACAGTTACCAGTAAGTTACCTTTGTTCTGAAGATTGTTACCAGAGATTAGGTTACCATGGTTACCACTAGCTTATTGTTAGCCAGGTATTGCCTTTTTGTTCTAGTCAGTACAGTCTCGGCATTTTGTTAGCATCTGTTCCCTAAAATCACTGTTATGTTGATGTGATCCCATATGAGCTAGATACAAATATTGATCTCAATACAGACAGGCGAATAACTTTTGTTGTTGGTCTACTCAAGTTTGTTTTGTCCTGTTAATGTCAGTTGTCGAAAAAGAAATAATTGTCTTGAAATATAGAGTGTGAGCTGCAGAGTCAGTTGTAGTGTCATCTGTCCTCCTTTTTTAAATGAATTTAAATTTCCTGAAATTATGTCCCTTGTTTGCACTCACAAGGCAAATGCATGTTGCCATTTCCCTGAATGGCTGAATATGTAAAGAGTCATAACTTGATCTATATCAGTCACAATGTGCAGTACACTCTTGACTATTCCTAGTGGTTAAAGTGTTTGCTCGTTACATTTATGAATCATGTTTGATTCCCAACATAGGTACAATGTGTGAAGCCCATTTCTGGTGTCCCCCCCTCATATATTGTTGGAATATTCCTGAAAGTGGCATAAAACTGTACTCATTCATTTTCTTTAAACCTTCACAGGTCGTAGAACTCTGCACAACCCGTTCGAGGGACGCAACAAACCCTGGGACCCGTTTGGTTTGGCCCAGGTGGACTTGTCTGAACTCTTGTTGGGTCATCGCTACCTTCACCTCAAGCTGCCCATCCAGAACTCCGCCATCCCTGACATGCTGGGCAATGAGATGAGGCCAGACGGACGGGTCATCGGCATCGCTGGAGCTGTGGATGGACCAGGTAGACATCTTGTATCTTTTTGTACACTTAGTTAGTGGGTAATCACTGGATTGTCTGGTGGAATATTGCTGAGCGTGGCATTAAACAACAAACAACAAACAAACAAAACGTTGTTGGTTAGCTTGTATTCTGGAAGCTAATAGATGTTTTGAAGTACACATAACCAACTTCATTGGCCGAGTGATTAGTGATGTCATTTGATTGTGATGTGAGGGCATCTGATGACCTCACAATGGTCTGCATGGTATCCTGAGACAGTTTCATTTTATTTGTCTCAGAGCTACAGATAACTTTTTGGGTCATTGATTTATGTACTCGCTTGTGTTCATCTCAATTGGGTATCCTAATTTTCCTTTGAGTAACGAAATAAATTGTACTCACCTCACTCAAACTCAATTGGGTATTTTGCCATTTTCCATTAATTTTAAAAATATAATAAAATTTAAATGTTAGTGTTTGTGATTTACATTTGATCTGTAAGATGGGAAACGATAAGAAAGACTGCAAGTTGTCAAGTTCATATCCTGAAATAGAACCTCTCAATATACTTCAGTTATTTTATCTATCCACCGGTACGCAAGCTACGCTTTGACATTTTTGTGTGTACGCATGTAAGATCACATTTATTGAGTATTTACGAAACTTCAAGCGTACATGTACACAATAGACTTAATAGGAATTGAGTTTTCACATAAATATTTGCGTAATTTATGCAGATACGCAGCTTATCTGTACCTCTGTGTCTTCTAGATCTTGCTTGACCTTACTAAACCAATATGTCAGGTGGAAGTCAGTATTGAATGATCAGTATATGCATCCTACAGCTCGATAATATATTTGGAAGGAATAATCATTTAAGCTTGTGTTTGTTACCAAAAAAGGCTACAGATATGGCAGATTCATGTGAACCCATACAAAGGGAGACAACTCTATGGTACTTGTGTTTAGTTTGTGGCTATGCTAACCATGTGAATTTTCTATACACATCAGTTGACTGTCCACTGTCCACGGGTCACTATATGAATGCCAGTGCCACACTGAAGGTAAAGATTGAACTGGCACATCCTCTGACAACACCATCTCGGGTCTCTGCCAAGGAACCCTTACTCAGCACTAATGAGGTGGGTATTACTTGTTTGAGTGGCATTTTAGAAGTTGAGACGTACAATATTTTCAGTACAATATGGAACAAGTTTTATGGATAACAACCATTAAAACTTGTTTATGAATCAATAGGTGCGTCACATGTTTGTGGGTGGTTTGTTTATCAATCAATAGGTGACCGTTTGGTGTGTAACATGAGGAAGTAAAACAGGCCCCAAAAGTCAAATACTTCTAACTCAGGAAAAAGCTTGGATTCCCAGTGTCTTAACAGTCTGAATGACCTACCTTGCCTCCTCAAAATACATAAACATGTAACAACATAATGATGTTTTTCGTCTTTTATGGCTGATATAAATACCAATCCATGGATAGCGTCACTTGAAAGTAGGGCAGACTAGTCCTGGCCAAAGCATAGCCTCTCACATGGATGTCCGAGGGAAAGTTAGCCCTACTTTCAAGCAGCATTATTACTTTATCAGTTTCTATGCCACCTGTTTCTGCCTGGCTGGAATTGTTCCCCAAGACCATACTGGTTGTAAGAGATGAATCAAGCTAAGAATGGCCTACTGCATTGGCTGCCATTGTAGAAAGCGATCTTAGTGCTAATGTGACCGTAACTCCCATACCATAACATAGAGTTACAACTGGCGTAGTGCTGAGGTTGCTTTGTACAACGGCACCCTGGTCTCCTTTCCTCAAAATAGTGGACAACAGTCACACCTATGTTAAAGTATCAGGAGTTACTGTACAATCATCTTAGCACAACAATCACTTAATGGAATGGGGCGTTGGTTTTGATTGCTCACATAGATTCTGTTTGTAATACCTGTTTCTCTATCCCTGTTTATAAACTTGTATGACTGATGTTGTAAGCACCAAGCCAAGTCCATGTTGTTTGTATACCAATATGAACCATAACATGTGTCATCACTGGAGTGTGAAAACTGGAAAGTTTTGAGAAGGAAACTGCTGTTATTTGTTTCAGTGTCCCTTTGGCCGCATCGTCTTCCTGTTCGACTACAAGAACGTGTCGATGCTACACAAGCTACAGGACCTCATCACCAGCATCAACGCCCACGCCCTGGAGCTGGACGACATGCCGCAACACGTCATCAACGCCGCGCTGTCCACATACAAACTCTCAGCGTCAGTACTCTCAGCATTAACTTAATGAATAAAAGAAATTATTTTGACCATCACGGGGGACACAGTCAGGCACCTTAATTTAGCTGTGCAGTGTTGCATATTTGGGCACACTAGAGGCCTAGATGCCATTTTTTCAGGGTTTTGTGAGCTTGTCAACACCAAACCTGTACTCATGGGTTTCACCAAAGTGGTTCACATCTGAGACCTGCATTAGTTCAGGCTTTCTTCCCACATTAAGCTGACACACTGTGATATAACGCACATAATGTTCTCGGTCACTCATTAGTCCAGCCTATTCTCTCAATGTGATGTTAGATACGTACTGTCTATCTGTGAAGAGAGCTACAACTATCACTGCACTGTGATCGTGTCGTTTTTGTAGGCCCTTCTGAATAAAATGTGGACACTTATAAATAATCTTAAATAATCTAAATGGTAAATAAAGTATTTTTGTTTCTATGGTTTTGCTACATGAGAAAAATATTACACAGTGTTTTCTGTTGCTTTTCTAATCCCTCATCAGAAAATGTAAAACAAGATGAGCAGGCTGTCAAAAACTTAAAGTTCCCCCTTGCCAAAAGGATATCTTTAACCTGGCTCTGATACTTCTGACATGTGTGGTATATTTATCCTATTGAGGTGAGGTGAGGTAAAATTGGGTTTAACGTCGTGCTTGAGAATATTTCGCTCATATGACGACGTGCATGCGTGTGTATGTGTATGAGCGGCTGCTTGTACTAGCCCAGACTGAAGCTGGTTTTATAGTGCTAGCCCACTGAGATACCATGCCGCAGTGAAGCATGAATATCCCACTCAGACACATTATACTGACTCCGAGCCAACCAGTCCTTGTTGTACCCATTAATGCCAAGCGCCAGGCAGGGACCAACAAGTACCATATTTTAACGTCTTTTGGTATGACGCGGTCGGGGATCGAACCCTCGACCTTTCGCTCTCCAGGCGGACGCTCTAACCACTTCACCAGGGAGGCGGTCTTATCCTATTGACACCAATGATGAAAATTGGCTTATTCCTCACCCGTTGAAGATATCACTGTTTAATAAATCTACAATGTTATTACACATTTTATAATAACACTGCGAGGTGCCTGACGTATGATGGCATCATGTTTTACAGTTATGATGTCACAATGCTAATACCTCTGTCACAATGGTATTAGACTTTGCTTGACTCCCGGAAAGCTGAGTCATCACACTGTAGGCAGGTTCTATCAATTTATGTTGCAGAGTAATAAACAGAATACTTAACTAGCTTCTGTGAAATACCATTTTTATTAAACTGAAAGATTTAGCATCAAATTTGCTTTCGCGTTAATACGTTTTAACTCGTTTAATAAAAATGGTATTACACAAAAGGTTGTTTCCTCTATTTTGCCCTCGTATGTAGAATGTTCACAAGCTTGATAGGGTTATGTAGTTATTGAGATTTAAGTTTCATATACAAGAAATGATGTTTGTATGTCAATAAATACTTGTTGAGTTTTGTGTGTGTGAAGATGTAGGTTCTGTGTTTTGCTAGAGAGCAGCAGCAGAGTCGTGAGTTGGACATCATCACCGGCTTCCAGGTGCTGGACGGGAACATGCATCTGTTTGTGTTGGAGGGACTCCGTGACAAGGCCATACATGTACTGTGGGAAGCCCTGCCTCAACCACACAACTCAGGTCAGACCTTCTCTCCATAAGACTCGTAAACATTGGGTTAGAATTGGTCTTCAGCAACCCATGCTTGTTGTAAGAGGCGTCTTATAGGATCTGTTGGTCGCTGACTTGGTTGGCACATGTCATCGTATCACATGTGTAGATCGATGCTCATGATGTTGATCACTGATTAGTCTGGACAAGACTCGATTATTTACAGACCGTCACCATATAGGTCGAATATTTCTAATGTGGCATTTAAATAACAAACGACCATTCGAACGAAAAAAGAATCACTCCATAATGGCATATGTCTTAATGAGGCAATAGAACTCTATACACTTACGTTCACATTGTATAATAATAAGTTAATTTAGATTCAGCAAATTCTTTTCTTAATATTTTGCAAATATTATTTTCTTATATTTGTTCAGTGCATTCATTGTTTTGTTTGTGCACAGATGTGACGGTGCTCTTCAACTCGGACATGTTGTTCAGCAGCCGACTGTACGGCCCCCTGGACGTGGACCTGTGTCGTGTGAAGCTCCATGAACCACTCTCCATCATCACCCAGCAGTCCTTGCTGTACGTCAGGGACATGGTCCCCAAACCATGCTTCCAGGCCCTGGTCAAACTAGAACAGGTCAGTGGTAGAAGCCGTTCACCATGATTACCGTGGTCAAACTAGAACAGGTCAGTGGTAGAAGCCGTTCGCCATGATTACCGTGGTCAAACTAGAACAGGTCAGTGGTAGAAGCCGTTCACCATGATTACCGTGGTCAAACTAGAACAGGTCAGTGGTAGAAGCCGTTTGCCATGAGTACCTTGGTCAAACTAAAACAGGTCAGTGGTAGAAGCCGTTTGCCATGAGTACCATGGTCAAACTAGAACAGGTCAGTGGTTGAAGCCGTTTTGCCATGAGTACCTTGGTCAAACTGGAACAGGTCAGTGGTAGAAGCCGTTTGCCATGAGTACCATGGTCAAAGTAGAACAGGTCAGTGGTAGAAGCCGTTCGCCATGATTACCGTGGTCAAAGTAGAGGATGTCAGTGATTGGGTGGAACCATTCACCATTGGTTACCTTGGTCACAGGTCCTGAGTAGAAGGGAAATCATATACTTTCAGTTGGTTATCAGTCAAACTAAGAGTCAGTGGTACAATTTGAACCAAAAGAAAAATTAAAATCTTCGAGTAAATTACATGAGCACTTATCTGTTTTATATTGCCTGAAGAGGTTCTTTGGAGTCAAAAGTGCTCTTCTGAAAAATTGTTCTTATTTATATATTAAACTTCTATAGTATATTAAACTTCAAATTTTGACATTGGTGATATTCCCTTCCATTATATATAAAAACCTAACTTAAAGGTCACTTTTGGAACACTTTTTATAAGATGTTTTTAACATTTTGTGTCTCTTACAGCTGTGCAGACTGAAGACGTTCCGAGATGCTGTCAGAAACAGTTTGTTCCCCTCGACGGAGATGGTGATTTCCATGAGTCGGGAGTTTGGTGTACCTTTCACTTCAGAGGACCTCCAAGGTAAATATTAACAATATACTGTAGATAAGCTAATCTCATAGATAAACCAAGATACTAACTTGACCCTTAAAATCAGTATCAAAATGGTATGTACCGTAGATAGGCTCAACCATCACCCTTCGCTCATCTTTTTGTTGTTGTCAGTCATTGGAAACAGAGTGTCAACAAATCCATATTGAATTACACAAGTTAATCCTGATGTTACACGATCTCATGATATAACATGTACTTTGCATATCTGGACTTATGTTTTCAATCTAGTATATTTATTTTACTCTAAATGTCAAAAAAGAATGTTTATATTTGCTGCGGTGAAATCTTGTGTCCCTTCGGTCCGCATTATTCACACGGATCACTATCATATTGCATCTACTCACCCCTAAATGAAATGAAGTTGACAGAAAATGGATATGACACATATTTTGTTTCGCTAAAAGCATATTTGTTGTAGCTGGACAATCACGTGTCAACAAACTGTTTTCATAGTGGAAATAGCGAGATTGCGCAAAGCGTCATCAGTGATAGATCAAATTGTTCCATGCATAAAACTATCTGGCAATACACCAAAGTGCTGTCACATAGCCTTAGTTATGATTATAAATATTTTACCTGTAATTAAATGGCACAATGCTGGAATATATTTGTCTTGGTAAAGTAATAATTTCAGATACTATATTTTCCAATCACTGCATAAGAATTCATCTTGTTATATCATTGGGTATGTTTTAACTAAATCACTGGTAGATCTGCGGTGAAACGTGTGCACAGCTGTTTGCTCTGTATACAAGACAAATACACACGGTAATCTTAATCCCTGCATATAAGACAATAGCTAACTAAAACAAATTAGAACTGAAAAGGTAAATAATCTTGTCAAGTGATGTTTAATTGCAAATTTGACATCTTCACTGACAAAGTTGTTTTCTCTTGTGCATTCACATGAAGCGATAGGATGTCGTTTTCTTACCTACTGAAAAAAAGTTTGACGAAAGTGTAACTTGTAGAGAAGCCAACCCTCTTCTACAGACTGCTTTTTTCATCCTCAAAATTCTGCTTATCTACGGTCATATATGGTACTTTCTATGGGATACTTGAACTCCTTCATCTATAAAGCTAGGGTTCCTTGGAATTGATGGTGACACTAAGGCCAGCCTTTTTTTTCTACAGAGCTGCAGCCAGTGGTTGAGAAGGAGGTTGTTGTCGCAGAGGAGAGGCCTGCCGCACCCCGCCCATTCACGACCCGAGAGTGGACCCCGATCGACAACTTCAACCTGGAGTATGTGACAGGTATCGCTGACAGGGACAACCAGAGACTACAACATGACTTCCTCAAGGAGAACATGGTCAGTACTCTGCTATACCGTGTACTCAGGTTCTTGTGTAATAATCTGTATGGAATGGCGTAAAACGTGTTTTCAGACAATTGAGGTACTTTCAGATTTAAAGGTCACATGCAACCCAAAAATCAAACATAATTAAAACACAATTATTACTTATTCATGACATATAATATACATTGCTGATTATGAAATAACATATAAACAAAATTATAAGCGTACAATCGCAAATCAAAAGTGCAATATTTTGTACTTGGGTTTACTTCCCTTGAAACGAAGCACCCGGGATACCGAACCCAGTCAGAGCAGGTGGGTGTGCACTCAAGTGTAACGAAGGTGACAACTGGAAAAAACATTACCCGCCGCCACAGTAACCGCCAAGCTCTCCGCCGAGAAGCTGAAGCGCTAACAATCGTATGCCGTCATAATATGACGCATGCTGTGCCCCGGAGTTCGAAAACCGTTTGATCAGCTGTTTTAGTGTTCACTTTGTACAGATTTATTTTACCGACTTTCACTGCTTTATTTAAGCTATTTCATACATTGAGTGGTTTGTTTGCACACTCAGCTTAAACATAATTGACAATTTTTATAGCAGTTTTATGCGTGTCAGAATATGTTTCACTGATGTTAAAAATCCAATCGAGAGGCAGACGCCATATTGTTTGCATGTCATATAGTCGGTAGCGATCTTTAACATAAAATAAAATGATATCTTGTACATATAACATGGCGGTAAGATAAATACGTTATATGCTTCTCCCTCGGGTAATACGGTCTGGCTCAGGTGACACTGCTACAAAGAGGCGTACATCAGACCGTATTACCCTCGAGAGAAGCATACAACTTATAATATGTGTTCAACACACAGATATTTCATGAATTTCATTTGTAATGTTTAAACAATGCTAATTGTGAAATGGGAGTAAATGAAGGAAGGATAAAAGACAACAAAATGTAAAAACTCAGTTGGTGTAGTTTTGCAGATTTTCTGCAATCATCACAGACATCATGTTTAATACTGTACAATAGTATAAATCAGTATGTAACAAAATTGAAAACAGCTTGTCCTGGCTAGCTGTAGTCTCAGATGGTCATAGACTAGATTACCCATGAAGATCCGGGTTAGAATTGGTCTTCAGCAACCCATGCTTGTCGTAAGAGGTGAATAACGGGATCAGGTGACTTGGTTGCCACATGTCATCATATCCCAATTGCGTAGATCAATGCTCATGATGTTGATCACTGGATTGTCTGGTCCAGACTCGATTATTTACAGACCGCCGCCATATAAGCTGGAATATTGCTGAGTGCAGCGCTAAACAACAAACAAACCAACCAATCATAGACTGGATGACTAATTATCTTTGAGCCTGACTGCCACAATATATTGAATTATTTCCATATGGATCACTTGTATCACTATTTGACATCTATGGGCATCTTTTGCTGTGTACAGGACGATGTTCAGCAGCAGAGCATCAAGAACAAGCTGGAGCGTGACGAAACAGACCTCTGACCATCAAGGCCGATGTCACCACAGCCCACAACTACAGCTCTCAGACTCTCAACTCCACAGACCTCGGTCGAGAGAAGCTGCGTCAGATCCTGGCTGCTGTAAGTCCTTTAGAGATGGAAGGGTTCGGTGGGGATGGGTGAACTGGGAGGGTTGGAATGGTGATGAGGATGCAGTCAGGTGGGGTCAAGTTGGTGGGAGGGGCAAGCTGGTGGGAGGGGGGGCAGCAGGTGTTGGGATTGTGGGAGGGGGCAGTAGGGTGTGTGGGAGGGGATTGTGTTGGGATTGGGCAGAAGGTGTGTGTTGGGATTGTGGGTGGGTGGGTAGGTGTGTTGGGATTGTGGGAGGGGGTGGGTGTTGGGTGTGGGAGGGGCAGTAGGTGTGTTGGGATTGTGGGAGGGGCAGAAGGGTGTTGGGATTGTGGGAGGGGCAGTAGGTGTGTTGGGATTGTGGGAGGGGCAGAAGGGGTGTTGGGATTGTGGGAGGGGCAGTAGGTGTGTTGGGATTGTGGGAGGGGAGGTGGGGGAGAAGGGGTGTTGGGATTGTGGGAGGGGCAGAGGGGTGTTGGGATTGTGGGAGGGGCAGTAGGGTGTGTTGGGATTGTGGGAGGGGCAGAAGGGGTGTTGGGATTGTGGGAGGGGCAGTAGGTGTGTTGGGATTGTGGGAGGGGCAGAAGGGGGTGTGTTGGGATTGTGGGAGGGGCAGAAGGGTGTGTTGGGATTGTGGGAGGGGCAGAAGGTGTGTGGAAGGGGTGTTGGGATTGATTGTGGGAGGCAGAAGGGGTGTTGGGATTGTTGAGGGGCAGTAGGGGTGTTGGGATTGTGGGAGGGGGCAGAAGGGGTGTGTGTGTGTGTTAGGATTATGGTATTTTTACAGTATTTATTTTTATATATATTTTTACAGTAGTTGTGTGTGTTGGTTTTGAGAGAGGGTGCAGTAGAGGTGTGCATTGGGATATTCGGAGGCTGCAGCATGGTTCAAACATCAGGCATTAAGGGGATGCTTAGAGGGTCAGATTGTGGTCAGTATATTGTGTACAAGTAGGGTATCCATATTAAACTGTAGCATGGCATCTAAGTGGTCAAGCACTATAAAACTATGAACATGTTGCTACATAACGGCAAAACGCTTTTAATCGACCCCGAACTCATTTCACCCCACCTCTACCACGTAATTACATGAAACTGATGTTCCCATCATTGTCCTCCAGAAGCCTGACACCAGATACACCTACTGCCAGGACTACCACCACTCCATGACTGTCGTCCCCATCAACCCAGAGGCTCTCCAGAAGGAGGCTGAAGAAAAGGCCAAGGCTTGTTGGAGGACCGAGTCTGGCTCCGTGTACCCGGGCATGAAGAGCATGCAGGATAGCAACATCCACCCAAAACGCCCCGATGACGCTCGGACTCAGGAACTGCATAGGGTAATAAGGATGTATTCTTTAGTAAGGATGTATTTCCCCATCTTGACTACCATATTTCCCCTAATAAGCACCTGGGCAATGTGTGTCACAATAAATCTTAATACCAGTCCCTCTCTAAGGTCATGCCATTTATTTACTCATGAACTCCACATACATATGCTTCAGAGTTTACATTTAGTGGCCAGTTTCATCATTTCATTATCAAAATATGTTAAATATTTTGGATTGATCAAAAAATATTCTCTTTACACAGCCCTGGAGAGAGAACCTGCTTCATGTAAACATCCTGCAACCTCCACTGTCTCGGGACAACTATCCATGGGACTACAGGCTACTTGACCTTGACCTCTACCGCCGCCCACCGCTGCGTTTTGGTAACGAGCCAGTCACCATTCATCTTGCTGGAGAGAAGCTTCGTCAGGAGAAACTAGCAGCTAAGAGCAAGGATCTGTCTACGTGGAAATCCAAGATCATTGTGGATGACATACGTCACCATGCACACAGATGCCTACCGGAGACGGAGATGAAAGGTCTTGGGTTCTACTCCAGCAACCAAGTGGACAGACTCAGAGGCCTTCTCAAAGACTCCCCTGCCAAGTTCACTCTGAAGCGCCCTGGCCTCGCCCTGAACGAGATCCCTCCTCTCAATGTTGTCCTCAACCCTAGTGTGGACACGGAGGCACGGGCGGCAGGGCTTCCTATCTACCCAGCAGTGAGAGGAGAAGGGATGGAGAGTACCAAGGGATTCAAACCTGGACCGTTTGAGGGAAGAAGGTGGCAGCTTGAGAAGAATAAGATTCCAGTGTTTGACTATGAGCATCAGAAGTTTGCCAGAGTCAAGGGCCGGGATTTCAAGTGAGTGAAATGTTGGGTATCATTGTAAATGAATATCATGTTCATGTAGAAATGTTGTTAACAGATCTTTAGGATTTTTTTCCATGAAGCCAACATTGCTTTTTAGCAGCTAAGGATATAGCTGGAATATTGCAATGCTATACAACAAACACAACAAATATCCCTCATGTGGCATAGAGCCCAGGTCACAAGTCAGTTGAAGTTAAGCAACGTCAGGTGCGGAGAGTCCTTGGATGGGTGACTGTGTTTGGCACCTTGACTCCTGAGAGTTTCTAGGACTTCAGTCCTGCCCCACAACGAAGCATGCTTGACACATGTGGTGTCACCTTAGGCAAGTGAGTTTGTTCAAGAATTGCCTCTGTTCACCCAGCAGAAAATGGGTACCCGGTTGGATAAGTCATATGACTGTTAACCTTCTAGTGCCTCACAGGCAGCTTGGCCGCCATATAGCTGGAATATTGCAGAGTGTGGCGTTAAACCAAACTCACTCACTCACTCACAGGCAGCTTGGGTTATCCGGGGTAATTATGTGTTAGCTCCTAGAGCATGCACAAGTGCATGGAAACAGGCACTTTACAAATAGCCATTATTATTATGTGTAAATGACGTAGTAGTTATATCCTAGTTTTATGGAACTGTCCCACGTGAATGGTACATGCAGCATATTGTACAAAATTTTACTTTGTAGAGTTGTCTCCCTTTGCCATTATCATTTTGCTGGTGGCAGTTGTAGATTTTCGAAGCTCTCTTAGCACTAAGATAGTCGTAAGTGCCATACATTAACATTAACCTACGACTATCTTAGCGCTAAGAGAGCTTCGAAAATATGGGCCAAGGTTCACCCTACAGTGTTTATGAACAGCATACTGTTCTTTATGTGTTTCAACAAACTGAGAAATATCGTATCCTTCCTGATGTGAACTCACTCATTAATATCTTGTTTCTTGCAGTGTCTACCACACAAACAGGAACAATCTGTGGAAAAGAGAAATCAATCCTCTCTCAGAGGATGACAGAGACAATCATCTCTTCCGCATGCAGGACAACCCAGACATCTGGGGGCCAGTAGACAATTCAGGATTTGACCTTCAGAGGTCATACACTCAGCCAATCATCAGCCACACTGCAGGGATGACCTTGACCTCCCAGTCACCTGATCTCATCCACCATACAAAGGTCAAGAAGCAAATGGAAGCCATGGCTAGTTGAGGATTTTAACCTCATTTAGCTATATATATTTTGTATGTTTTTACTTTTTAACTGCTGTAAATGAGGTTTTGTACTTACAAAGTGCTTGACATTTTACTCCAAAGATTTGCTGTAACCGTTGAATGTATTTTTATGTTTTCTGCTCAATTACTGTACAATTGTATGTATGTTGTAAGTATTTCCTGCAACAAGTGTACTTAAAAGCTGTTTGATAAATCCTGAAGTTAAGTGTGATTGTGTGCAATGTACAGAGCATTACTGTGATTATCTCAGTGTGATATGTGATCACCGTATTCACATCACTTATGTGATACCTGTCAAAAGTAATTTGAAAAATTGCAATATATTATATCTTTATGTTCCACTGCTGAAAGATAAGCATGCTGGGACAAATGTCTTGTATTGAAAATATCATACTTTCACAGAACCATTTAACAAACATTAAACTATGTTTGATCTTATTTCAGTATTATTTTTTTTTATTATTATTATTATTTTTATTTTTTTTGTAATTGATATTTTATTTTTGAGTCCCTATTATAAACAAAACCAGATACCAAAGCATTGCTTGGCCCAAATCAGATAGGACAAGGTAAATTTCACAGAATTTATTGCTAATTTATGAAATAATTTCTGATATACATCACTGTTCTTAATTTCAAAATCATTTCAATTTTAACCAAAAAAAATAATTAGATATCTTCTAATCATGGACTTTTTGGTTATTATTACTTTTAAATTTATTATTGTGTTGTCACAATTTGTTTTCTTGAAGCACAACAATATTTGTTGTGTGAAGTCGTGTACATACTGCTGACCTGTCATAATATGCAGAGTGATATTTATTGTGATCTCAAAGAGTATATTTTTGGATTGTGTACATTGTGTATATAACTACCCTGAGATAGGGTGCCCACCCTTGATACCAAATCTGTGGTACCATACTGCTGATGTGTATAGTGTCATGTACACTGTGTGTTATAAATAGATGTACTTATACCACTCACACATTGCTAAGGATATGTCACCTAGAACAAACTTCGATAACAGGGTAGAGGATAGCCAAGTGGTAAAAGTGTTTGCTCATTGCACAGAATTCTGGGTTTGATTCCCTGCAATGGTACAATGTGTGAAGCCATTTCTGGTGTCCCCTGCCGTGATTTCGCTGGAATATTGCTGAAAGCTGTAAAGATAACAATACTTTGATCAGACATACAAATAAACAATTTGTGTGTTAAACTTTTATAGTTAAAACATTTCTATTACATCAATAGTGAATCAGCCATGTAGTGAAATATCTGATACAGTGAATTATTCATGTACACAGAATGTGACAAACCTAAATTTTCTGTTGAAGTTTGCTGTGATATTTTTTAATCACTCATTCTCTAACATTCGTCATTAGTGTCAAGAAAAGGTCACATTGTCTATAACATTTCTATCACTGATTTGATGAAAGAGTCGTAAACAGTTGCCTACAGAGACCTTATTTTCTGTAATGAAATTCTCCCTCAAGCAATGTGCACTTCAATACATCCATATCCTTATCAATACTTGAGTGGAATGTAATACTCCTAATACACATGTATAGTTAGTTTGTATATAGAGTCTTAAGCCCATCTGTTATATATTAAAGCCTTGCAACTGTTATGGCTATACAGCCCCTAACTCCAGTGTGTATGAGATGCACAAGTAACTGGTTCTTCATTACATGTTAAGTGTAAGGCAGCAAAGTGGTGAATATCTGAATGTCTAGTTACTCGGCATCATCTGACTGAAACTACATCAAAGTGACACAAAATACTGCATAATCAGTAATTAATAATAACATCCTGAAAACCTGAAAATAATAATTAAATGAAAATAAGTACTTCAAAAAAATGCCAGAGCAGAACTTACATGCAGTGCATTCATAACATATCTTAAATCTTCCTTCAAAACTGGTGTTGCATTTCATATATTAATACTGCACATGCATTATGTGCAGTTTCTCTAACAAAGTGATATGTCCAGGGGTTGTATAGTTGTGAAGACGTGGAGGGGGATAAGATTAGGCCATTACTCCAATCTTTGTACATTTGTGTCTGTACATATAGACTGAAAGTAACAAGACCCAAACCACTGTTGTGATAATCAGGCTGTTATACAGTAATATCACATGTATATCTCATACTCTTGACTGTAGTAAAAGGCATGGAATTCATATCTATGTCTATCTGTGTGTTTCTGTTGTCTGAAGTTACATGCAGGTTCATTCATGGTCAGATTGATATCTATATATTTATGCTTGTGTGTAATAAATTATTGAGAGTATGATAGATGGTTTGTATGACAAAAGAATAGAGATTATGTACACATTCAATATAACATTGACTATGCTCAGAGTCCCGTTTAACAATGTGATCGTTGGTTACGAGTGCTGGGATTAAAGGTATGGAAGTTAGCATTGCCCTAGCACTACGCTTTCTTTATGTAACATGGCCCTTGACATTAGAATGAGTTTAAATTTCAATTGTCACAAGTCCCAAACCACATCACAACATTGTCGGACATTGCAGCAATGTCAGTCAGCACAACAGTGTATGACATTACGACAGTGTCTGACATCACAACAGTGTCTGACATCACATCAGTGTCTGACATCACAACAGTGTCTGACATCACAACAGTCTGACATCACATCAGTGTCTGACATCACAGCGGTGTCTGACATAACAGCATCTGACATTACGACAGTGTCTGACATCATAACAGTGTCTGACATAACAGTGTTTGACATCACAACAGTGTCTGACATCACAACAGTGTCTGACTGGGTCTGAGTTACAAGTCAGTATTAGTAATACCCTTTGTGTGAATACCCCATGTATAAATGACTGTGATATGAAGTGTAGCTGTTATTTGTCAAATAAGAGAATGAACATTTACAGTGGACTGTAAACATGTAGATAGAATTCTCATGAAAACATGACCATCATCGCATCAAAGATTATTTTATTGGTATTTTGTGAATAAGATGCAACTTAGCATGCCATGTTACAGTAGTTGTGGCAAGTACATAACTCCCCTCAAAAGCTACCATTGGTTCTTTTAAATGCAAAATGTCTTCAGCTTAATTACCTTGATGTGAAACTATGATTTGAAACACTTGATGTGAAACTATGATTTGAAACCCTTGATGTGATACTATGATTTGAAACCTTTGATGTGAAACTATGATTTGAAACCCTTGATGTGAAACCTTGGATGTGATTAGTATTGATGAGAAACCATGAACATGAAACCTTGATATTAAAACTTGATGTGAAACCTTGATGTGAAACCCTTGAAATGAAATCTTAATGTGAAATCTTGGATGTGATACCTTGATGTGAAACCTCGGTGTGAACCATTGTGTTCACCACAATGGATATCTTCCACTGTAAAGTCTTTTAAATCTCTTAAAAACCTTGTGTAATGAATCGTAGCTACCACATAATGACATCTAGAATAAACATATACATATGTCATTACATCACAGTTTTTGATCTGACATCACTTACTTGTCGCACCTCACTTGATGCTGTTTACAGTTTAGTTACCAAAGTCACAAGATTATTATGATTACAAGTTCAGTCATTGATCAATTTTGTACAGTCTGCTATTGATGTTTCTTATTCATAATGCATTCCTTACTAGATAGTTTGGAATAAAGGTTATACTACTGAGTGTGCATTTAAACTTTATGAAATCATCACCGGGAACCTAAACTCTTATATGACTTATTTCTGCCGAAACTCTATAAAATACATAGCTTTAAAATAGTAATAGGACATTTCATGCATGAAAATTTGAAGAGATTTTCTTTTTATGAGAAGGAGGTCTTAAATACAGTATAAACTGAGTCCATAGGTTGATTCAGAGAAGGGGGTGCAGGGGTGCGGGGGTGCCCAACACCACCCACGCTAACACCCACACCCCTTTTCCACATGTAGAGAAGTTCTTCATACTGGGAGAATTTACCAAGTAAAAGGTACTGAATATCACATGCTGGTGTATATTTGTGTTAAGTAAACTGTCAAGATATTTAATTAGGAGGTCATTTTCTTCATTAAGTTTGAGAGAAGCAGTGATGATCATTTTATGACAAAATATCTTTATTAACCTCTTGTGTTTCTGGGAATATTGTGGGTACAATGTGTGAAGCCCATATCGTGTGTCCCTTCAGGGATATTGCTGGAATATGGCTCTAAGTGGTGTCAAACTAAACTTACTCACTCACTCATTTTGGGAATATTGTTTGAAGGTTTCTCAAGTAACAATGTGTGTGTGTGTTAATGCAAGGTCATTAAATACATACTTGCGGTGAAAAGAATGTTGTACACTGTTCTTAATCATACTGAGGGCATAAACATATATTCACACTTTATTGCTAGTTCTTGTGTTTTTGCTGATTGTGTGATGCCATTTCCTTGCTTGCAGGCATGTTACCTGATTGTGTGACACCATTTAATATAATATGAATGTGTTCAGCCCCACGTTGGGCGCCAATGTAGTGGCCATAAAATTTCAAAGTCCCGTGCTGGGATTCGAGCCATGGACTTTCTGATCCAAAGTCGGACGCCTTGTCCGCATGGCCAAAGAGGTTAACCTCATCAGCAAGCTCACAAGGTAAGGATACCATCTGTGGGATGACTCCACACCCTGCTACATACTCCCCCGTCAACAGAAGGCACGTCCCAGGCCGCATATATATAGCTGGGTACTGAGACTTACTTTGCTCAAATTTAATATAAACATGATCGAGCCCAGTGTTTGGTGCCAATGTAGTTGCCATAAAATTTGGAGTACCGCGCTGGGATTCGAACCACAGACATTCTGATCTGTCGGACGCCTTGTCCACATGACCAAAGGGGTTACACGCGTCAACAACCTGACAAGGTAAGGATACCATCTGTGGGATGACTCCACGCCCTGCTGCACTAACACACTATCAAACCATCGTAGGAATACACCGTCTCTATGTATACCTAGTGATAATGTCAGTGCTACCAAATTATTTACACTTAGATTAATATAAATCCTGCCCCAAACTGAGCAAATGTGGCATCTCCTTTGGCGAATTACTTTGCTCATGATATGTTTCTGTTCACCCATCAGTGAATGGGTACCCGGAAGGATGGCTGTTAACCTTCTAGTGCTTCACTGGCAGCCTTGATTGAATACTCCACCGATAAATGATAATTAGAATTATGTGATCGCTGATATATTGACTGGGATAATGAGAACGTATGGCCACAAGTATTCACTGGGTGGTTGGAATTCGGTACATTATATATGCTTTTACTGTTACGATTGTGACATAAGGAAACCGTCAGAATGGATCGTGGATTCATGGATCTACTTCATAACAATGATGTCATAGGTTTCCGACAAACCAAAACCGATATATGTGACTATATACTTTCTAGGGTTCTTTGCACAAAGGATCGGTGCTATGGAATGGAAGGTATGGGCTTTACAGTCAATGAAATATGTTGTAAATATGCTGTGTGTCGGGTAAAAATACGCATAGAAAATTTCCAATTACGCATTTAAAATGTTAGATACACAAAAGTTTAAAACAAATGCGTACGGAATATATTTATAAAAATCGCTTGCGTATTTAAACATAGATACATTACATTTAGGAAATAATTGAGTAATTTAAAACAAATGCGTACGGAATATATTTATAAAATTTGCGTAATGAAAAAGACATCGATTGCTATCAAGTTGTACTGTTAGAATAGGACTAGTGTTGGATAAGTGATTTTTTTATGAAATCATTTCCATTATATTTAAGTTGGTTTTGATTAGGTATGACATAAGGCAGAACATATAGTAAACTTACTCAATGACATAATACTTAGGTGAGTAAAATACTGAAATACGCACATATACTCATGCCAATAATGGTTGTCATACCCTCCCCCCCCCCGACCCACATATAATGTGTCACCCCTGTCCAATTAAAAATTGAAGGGGTGACAACCATTATTGGCATGAGTATATTTGAAAGCAGTGGGTAACGGAAAATGAAATACCCACTCAACATTCATAATACCCACTCCAATAAATTACAGCGGGTACGGTACCCACATGAGTTAAATCTTATCTGGAGCTCTGGACTGCCCATCACATTTAGGAAATAATTGAGTAATTTCTAGAATTGTATATTTGACACTGAACAAGGTCTTTATTTAGGAGTTGCCTATCTTCTCCCATTCTCGATAATCTCCAGAGTACGTGCCGATAAATCTATACTATAGTGGAGATTTATCGGAACGTATGCCCTGGAGATTATCGAGGATGATCTTCTCCCTGAAAGTTCAAAGTGTTTTTAAGACAATGTGTTCTGTGAAATTGAAAACACCACATAATATCGCAATGATTTATTATGCTGAACCACATAACCTGTATGTCATATCATTATACACTGACAAGTGGGGAATATTATACAATTCACATAATTATACACTGACAGCATGAGAAAATACTTGCCAGCAGGTTCTAGCAAACTCAGATTTCAACACTTTAAAAGGATTCCTCTTTCAGTAACATCAAAGATGTCGTATTTAATCAAGAATCAAGCCAGTTTCCTTGGGTGTCCACGGTATACTTGTTTAAACTTCCAAGTCTAAAATCTTAATTTTGCTCGATAAAAAAGCCCCAACGTTATCCACGGCAAATCTCCCTGTTAATTAACCTTTGTTAGGTAACAGTTTACAGAAGGCTGATAAGCCTCAGTCGGGGTCGCCCTGGCGGCATTTGAAGCCCTGATCTTATTAACATGGTAGGCTCCGCGGCATGCATTTCATTAAGGCCGCCTTACAATTACACTAGCAATGTGACTTGCCTTTTTAGGATAATTAAAACCGACGGAGTGTTGGGATGCTGTACATGACTAAAGAGGACCAGCTGTATCGCGAATTTTATTTTAAATTCTGGATAATTCAACGGCTGAAGCTTCAGCATGTTTTGTGACTAGTGATATACCAAGAAATATCTCATGGGACATTTAATAATCTTACTTTCACGGAATATCATTAATGTAGGAGAGGTTTGGTATTATACTTAGTGGTTGGATTTAGCGCTATATATATTTCCAGTATTATTAGTAGTAGTATTTAATTATCACCAGGGATATTTGTGTTTTTATTATTGTTATATTCCGTTATAATGATAAAAATTTAAACGAATCTTAAATTTAAAATGCCAAATACATATCGAAGCAAGTGGCACTATTGGTTCATAAGTATATTTGGTGAAAGGATTGGTGGAACTTTCTCATTTTGCAAAAACGTGTCGTGTTGGATTCGCACTGATCTAATGTCGGCCGAAGTCTTGACTACTGTTATCCAGATTTATATATGTTAACAGTTTCATATAACTACCCCTCTATACGAAAACTGCTGAGATGGTAAGATGGTATCGAGTGTCAACAAAGCTGTATAAAACAGGCCGGACCCAAGACCACCCAAGATCGGGAAGACCGAGAGTCACGACACCGGCCGAAGACCGCTACATCCGGCAGATCCACCTCGGGAACAGATTCGTGACGGCGAAAGCATTTAGGACAAGCCATCAGCAGACGAACAGTCCTTCCACGACTTGGTATGGCTGGTATACGAGCCTACCGCCCCTTCCCTGGAATGGCCTTGACCCGCCTGTAGACACGGACGTCAGTGGCAACGGAGTGACTTGCGCTAAACTGCGTTCAAGAAGTTCATCCGTTAAGAAGTTCATCCGTTAGATGGGGGTGGCGTCATGGTATGGGGGGTACATTTGTGTCCAGAGAACAACAAGACATCCGAGGAATTCTGAATGTCCAGCGATACGGGGATGAAGTATTGAGACTTTTGTTAGTACCCTTTATTCGACAACAGCCAAGAGGAGTTATTTTGCAACCCGACAACGCATGGCCTCACACCGCCAGAATTGTTCGAGAAAACCTGCACAAGGTTAAACCAACGTATAGCCTTGGCCAGCGCGTTCTCCAGACTCGAAGCCCTTTAAAACATCTCTGGGTTCTTTTTTTTTGTCAGCTGAGACAGCGTGTACCAACTCCAGCGAACCGACAGGAACCTGAACAGACTGTTGGAGTTATGGAACAGGATTCCTGCTGATCTGCCGACTAACGATGTCAATGAGGAGGCGTATGTTGGCGTGCATGGGTGCCCAGGGTGGTTACATACGCATTTGATGACGTGTCCCCTGACACCCATCTCATTATGTGACTTTATGAACGTTTTGAATGAACTCCATGTGACACAACCTCGAGTCTCCGCATCACCTTTCTATTTACAGACTGCCGCCATACAGCTGGAATATTGCTGAGTGCGGCGTAAAACAATTAACCAAACCAAACCAATCAAGTCTCAGCATCGCTATGGAGTATAGACCAATAATGACAGAACCAAGGACGGTTGTTCGGCCATTTATTAAAACACACAGGTTGCACAATAACATGACTACAATGATATAACGAGTAATCGCTGTCGATACATGCGTGTTCGTGCCACGATAAACCTTAACATACGCTTTCCCTTACGATTGATTTTTCTCAGTGAGAAAAGGTCGTTGATCAGTTTGTTTTAGGTTCGATGTGAATCAGTCTGGGGTCAATCATCTGCTTTTAGATCAACGAGATGCCACAGTTTAGAAGTAAGGTCATAATATAACCGAATGAGATAATGGAGCCATTTATTAATCCAAAATCTATATGGTTCGTATGGTTCAGTGTGTGTAATGAACATACATCGTATGGCTGTACACGTGTGTAATAACTCCCCGTATTGCAATGTTCAACACAACTGTGAAGGTAAAAGTAGTGCCAGGGTACTGCAGCTCACCGGAGGTATGTATAGTCCGTTTGGCTCAAAATCGGACCGATGAATTGCAATCTAACTCGAAAACTAATAAACATAAAATACTCAATGAAACGCTGATCATAATCAAAACATCATACCAACTCTGTGAGGTTTTTGCAGAATTTTTGTCCTAAAAATAAAAAAGTTGTTAAACAATCTATCATTAAAATATTGACACAGTTCACTATTTGTTACGAGGGAGGAGTTCAGAGAAAGGGACAGCCAGGTGTTCGAGAAGCACGTTCACAGACAAAGTTATTTATTTATTAACCTGTGCTGTGCCGTCTCCATTCGGGTATGTAATCAAATCACAGAGTTGGTATGCGATGTTTCGATTATGATCAGTGTTTCATTGAGTATTTTATGTTTATTAGTTTTCGTGTTAAATTGCAATTCATCGGTCCGCTTTTGAGCCAGACGGACTATAGTCAACAGTTTAATGTGTAGACAATGATGGTCACTTATTGGATGTTGCAGTCAACAACGTATCCTGTCGTTTCTGTCATGCCGCTATAGTTAATCTGCCATGGCATGACAAATTAGGTATAGTAACACTCATTTTGGTCGTGTTGCCACAATCTACTTACATAGATAATGACTGTCATTTGAATTGCTTTATATATTACAAATATGCCGACCTGTTAAATGTGTATGAAATGCTGTACCCAAATACAAAAGAAATAAAGTGATAAAAAAAACAAAACATCAATGAATATTGGTTGTTTTTTAACATGCCTTGACAGACTACCTTTAGTAATATGAAAACAGTCGGTCTTCTTCAACTTATTTTGGCTAGTATATCACTTTAGTCCCACTACACAATACTCGTGTGCCAAGATTCGGTTTATAAGCCCCAGTAGCTGTCCAATGGCTACAAGTGGTTAGATCAAGTTGACTGACGTCCCGGACATATTGGACATCGGATCTAAATTCCCCGAAATGGTCGCATTTATTCATACGTTTCATTAACTAAAGTCATTATTACAACAAACTTAACCACGGGTGATTAAAAGGACGTAATACTTGAAAATATCTAAGTTGTACTGTGCGTTTCTTTTGGATTTAAGTATACAGAGGTACATTTGTTCGGGTTTATAACTGATACAGTTTTAAAAACGATTGAGATGGAAAATATGAAAATATACCTTGGATGAAATTGAAATTATTACATGCTTCAGATGCGATAGTAATATCAAATATTTACAACGCTATGATACAAATTGTAACTGAAATATGCTGGTGAATACCGGTACTTTGATTATGATGGCTATGCGTTGTTTCATATCCAATCAATTCAGTGATTGGTTGTATATTGGTCCCTACAACTTCAGAAATGTTAATTTCACATTGAGGTAGGGTTTTCTACTTCCATGACAATGGGGCGTCTTTTGATGCATTTATGTGACATTGTCATCATAGATTTCGCACACTTCATGGGTCTGTTATTTCGGAAATGGCAACACTTAGAATGTGGTCGACTCTGAAATTCTGACAGTCAACCGTGCTGCCGGCGCCGATAAGCGCCCAAGATGGCGTCTAGTCAAACGTCGCCAGCGAGTTCTAAAACTAAAAACGCGGGATCAAGAGTTCTTCTTCATGGTGTCAGTGATCCAGTTCATGTAGTTGGCCACCCTGGTGAAGATGTTGGGGTAGCCGAACTCCGAACACGTTTCCTCACCCCAAGATGTGATCCCCGCGAGGTAGAAGCGGCCGTTCTTTGAGCACATCATAGGTCCTCCGGAGTCACCCTGAAGTATCATAGTGAAGGTTTATGAAGTAAACACAGAGGCATCATGGGTATGTACATAGCAGAATACAATATACGTCATTACTAATGGGTCACGTGTTTGATGTCAAACATAAACGTATGCCAACAAGTGCGAGTATGGTTTTACGCCGCTTTTAGCAATATTCCAGCTATATCACGGTGAGAGACCCCATACATGGGCTTCACACATTGCACACGAGTGGGGAATCGAAGTCGGGTCTTCGGCGTGACGAGCGAGTGAGTGAGTGAGTATGGTTTTACGCCGCTTTTAGCAATATTCCAGCAATATCACGGCGGGGACACCAGGAATGGGCTTCACTCATTGTACCCATGTGGGGAACCGAACCCGGGTCTTCGGCGTGACGAGCGAACGCTTTAACCACTAGGCTACCCCCCGCCCCGCGTGACGAGCGAACACCCCCGTATGCCAACAAGTGTTAATAGGTCAGCATGTTATTTCTGCCTGTTTCTAACTGGATATTGTTTGGTGTGTTTTTCTACGATCCTGGATAAAATCCACTACCTAGTTCAATGAAAAGTGCCAGATTGAAGGTTATTAAGGTCTACCCGAAACACACGCCTGAACGCAACCAGTGGTTGCACGTGCATAACATTACAAATTATAGCCAAAGGGTATAATTGGACGACCGAACTGCAGTCTCACAGCGTAATTTGTTTTCAGCGATTTAAATTACAATCGCCCTTTTCTCATCGCCGTGATTTGTGTTAAATTAGTCGGGATTCAGGGATGAGCAATGACGCTCAAGGTGACAATTAAATTTTATTCAGGATTCAGGAAAACTGGGATGGCCCTCTCATTTCTGAATTGCCTGATGACAGTCAAAAACAAACAGGGCTCCAAGTGAATTGATCTAGTTGACTATAACAATCAAATAAAACGTAAGCGTGGTGCATTGTGTTTAGATGTAGCTTTACATATCCTTTAATCTTGTTTCATTTAGAAACAGTAACATTTATTACCTTTGGAAGGTCGCGGGTTCGAACCCCGACCGCGTCATACCAAAAGACGTTAAAATATGGTACTTGTTGGTCCCTGCCTGGCGCTCGGCATTAATGGGTACAACAAGGACTGGTCGGCTCGGAGTATAATGTGTCTGAGTGGGGTATTCATGCTTCACTACGGCATGGTATCTCAGTAGGCTAGCACTATAAAACCAGCTTAAGTCTGGGCTAGTACAAGCAGCCGCACATACACATACACACACATGCACGTCGTTATATGAGCGAAATATTCTCAAGCACGACGTTAAACCCAATTTCACCTCACCTCACCTCACCTCACCTCACCTTTGCCGAAAGTTGTCATTCAACGAAATTCAAACTAATTGAAATTCATTTGGCCCCGACGCACGCGGTAATCGACGAGATAGGCTGTCCCTTCAGAATAGGGAACGTATTAACTACTGGCGTTAAATAATCATTCTACAGACTACACTCACTCTGCACGCTCCCTTGTTGCCCATGCCCACGCAGATGTGGTTGTTGTTGACGTAGCCGCGCCACAGTTTGGCGCAGTAGGTGTTGTTCACCAAGCCGATGCGAACTTCCTGTAGAACATCGCTGTATCTCCACTCTGGAAAAGTGTACATCCGTTTAACAAATTGTTGAAAAGAGCATGAAGATTGGGAAACCGGCTGTGACTTAAGGGCGCGAACACAACAACGGGTGTTAATGGGAATAGCAGAGAATAATAAGTCTTGTTGATTTAGTTTCATATATTATGTTGTGGTGATTGAATTCTGGAGATAAAAGGAGACAAAAATGATCAATCATGAAACGAAGGCTGAATGTGAACCCTCTATAAATCGAATCCTGTTATGGAAAGGGGCGCAACTCTGTACAGTATGTTATAACGTCTTAGAACACCATGCCAGCAGTTGAAGAGGATAGGGTTGTAACGTCTATTAAGTAGTAACACCAAACCAATAACCAAAATATGATTTTTATTATTATATTATATTTATATTATTATTTAGACTGAACTGTATACATAATGATTGTGATGTGATGTGATGTGATGTGATGTGATGTTTCAACTCACTTGATGTCAATCCCCAGCCAGTCACCCAGCAACCCGTCTCCCGGGAATAAGCGCTCTCGTCGGCGATGACTTCATATGGTTTGGGCAGACACACTTCACGGATGAAGCCGCTGTTCACGTCCACGGGGTCAGCTAACTTGATCAGGGCGATGTCGTTGGGGTAACTCCCCATGTTCTCGTACTTTGGGTGCTGTCAACAACGACAAACAACTTTTAGAGGGCTGTAAAACACATCTTCGTGTGCGAGGACTGACTGACTGAGTTTGGTTATACGCCGCTGTTAGCAATATTCCAGCAATATCACGGCGTGGGACACCAGAGGTTGGCTTCACATATTGTACACATGAGGGGATTCGAACCCGGGTCTTTGGCGTGACGACTGAACGCTTTAACCACTAGGCTACCCCACCGCCCCTCGTGTTGGGGAGCATGTGGAAGCAAAGAAACATGGGCTCAGAAACTCAATATTTCTTTCAATGTGGTTTAATCCAAACCGATGAAAATTCTCAAAGTCACGGTTGACGACTAAGGGAACTTAACAGATTAGTCAGTATATGAGAGATTTAATTCCAGCGACAGTGTGGGTGTGTCTGTGGCTTTTGTGAATACAAGTAAAACGGGAGCACTGAACAAAGCCCATAATCAGGGCGAATCTTGATAAAATGAATTGATAACTGGATCCGGGCACACCTAGGGGACACAACTCTGTAGAGCGAATGGTTACAGGTATGGTTGGTGCCCTCTAACCCTGTGAACACGATGATCATGGGTGTGGAAACAATCGTTAGTAAACGTTGAGCCAATATGATGCTGCGCATCTTCATAAGAATGGATATTGTATCAAAGGCAGACGCGTAGTAAGCCAATTTTTTCGTGTTTGTTTGAACATATTTTATTCAGTGTTGAAATGGATTGGGCACAAGTTACGTAACTTATTACCGCCCGCTCCCATCAGAAACATGAACAATAATGGTTGGACGTAATGGATGGACATAATAATATTGAGACATATTATTGATTAATTGAAGCGTTTACTTCGTACAATGTATTTATGCACATGTCTAAAGATATTTTCATTGATAGTATTTGGCAGAGCAGGGTTGCCGTAAAATATGGTAACAATGTCTAACTGAACTTTTGATAGTTCAAAGTCTTGTTTTAGATCAAAACGGCAACTGACAAATTTTGGACATTTTAAGAAGAAATGGTTAGCATCTTCCACCGGAGCACCATAATTGCAAGCTCTACTCTCTGATAGATTAACACGTGTAACCCCGATATGTTGCAAAGCTTTATATTTAGATAGTTTTGAGGGCTTGCCCAACTTTCATAGTGATCTTCAACAATAACGTGTAAGCCCGGGCTTTTTTCTATAATGATAGCTACGCCCCTGAGTGTGTGTGTGTGTGTGTGTGTGTGTGTGTGTGTATGTCATACACAATGGCTTTCAAAACATGCATGCAGGAAGCAGTACCCCTTCTCTGCCCCTCCGAGAACGGCGCCCGATGACGGGATGGGGATAGTGTTGTAATGAGTTGGAGGGTTATATTCAGGGTGGATCCAAAATATCGAATCCACGATCACTGGATACTGGTACACCTTAAAGGGACACAACTCTGAGCGAATCGTGGAGTGATAAGCAGTTTAGCGCCCCGTGCCCCTATGAGCACGGTGGTCAGCTGTATAAGGGTGCCGATGGTGGGGCAGTGTTGTCATCAAGCTGTATGGCGGGGAGTACTTAACTTACCATGTGTAGAGACTCGACCCCGACCTTGACCTGGAACCGACTCGTCTTTTGCAAGTTGTGTGCGCCGATGACGACCTTCATGAGGCCGCTCAAACGTCTGTCGCAACAGAAAGACTGACATTATACATGACCTAAATAATTATTTCGTGTAGTGATTCTTGTCATCCACACATGTCACAATTTAGCAAGTTTTTCCTTCTTAGTGTCACGGGTTCAGGTCTTGAATTGTCCGAGGACAATAAAATTAATGATGAGACGGGTAACGTCGCTTAAGATCCAAAACCAGTTTACTGCCTATGAAATAATAAGATTATAACATGAGAAATATGTTGCACGTCCGACATGGTCGGGGGCATCAGTGGGCACATACCCGTGAAAGTCCGGGTTAGAACGAACCTTCAGTAACCCATGCTTGTCATAAGAGGCGACTAACGGGATCGGGTGGTCAGACTCGCTGGCTTGGTTGACACATGTCATCGGTTCCCAGTTCCGCAGATCGATGCTCATGCTGTTGATCACTGGATTGTCTGGTCCAGACTCGATTATTTACAGACCGCTGGAATATTGCTGAGTGAGGCGTAAAACTAAACTCACTCACTCACTCACTCACTCACTCACTCACTCATCAGTGAGCACGGGTTGCCCAGTCTCTTAAGCGGGACAAAATAGGTTCGAATCCCGGTTTATGGGTTTGTCAGCACCATGTCTGTGTTTATGGGTTTCACGAAGGCTGTAAACATCTAATATCTAAATACATAAACTGAAATACTGAAAGACACTCGTTCCCTGTTCCTTAAATGGTAACTGACTGACTGATTAAGTTTGGTTTTCCGACGCTTTTAGCAATATTCCAGCAACATCACGGCGGGGGACACCAGAAATGGGCCATGTAGGGAACTGAACCCGGGCCTTCGGCGTGACGAGCCAACGCTTTAATCACTAGGCTACCCTACCGCCCCATTTAATTTTAGGCATCGTAATTCAGCGATCAATATCTCCATGATGTGCACATAATTAGAAGGTGAAGGTTGTTTGGACTTGGACCGGACAGTCTAGTGGTAGATAGCATGAGCAATGATTGCCATGGTGCCGTGGCATACAATCAGCGTGGTCACACACTGTGACCACCCGCATCTGATTTTAGTCGATTGTTACGATAAGCATCAGTCGTGAAGATTAGATTAGAATTGGTCTTCGGTAACCCAAGCTTGTAGGCGTAAGATGCGACTAACGGGATCGGGTGGTCAGGCTCACTGACTTGGTTGACACATGCCATCTTATCCCATTTGCGTAGATCGCTGCTCATGATGTTGATCACTGGATTGTCTGGACAAGACTCGATTATTACAGACAACCACCACCATATAGCTTCAGTCAGTCACTGGATTGTCTAGTCCAGACTAGATTATTTACAGACCATCGTCATATAGGTGGAAAATGTCGGAGTGAGGAGTTACAAAAAACGAAATGCTGAGAATATGAGCCCGGAATCCCAGAGAGGAAGTCGAATTGGTTAAACATATGTAGGGACTACGAAAGAGGATTTCTGATGTAATGGCTGCTTCCACTGACCTGATAACACAGTGAGCTGCTGTGAGCACCCATCGGTCCTTGATGAGGACACCCCCACAGAAGTGAGCCGACCTTTGGTACCCGCTGGAGTATTGGAGCGACACCTGCCACGCCCACTCCCCTTCGTGGGCGCTGTTTCCGCCCATGATGTTGGGGAACTCTTGATGCCGCACGACTGGTACACTGAAACATTGCAGTACAGTATACTAATTAATTCCATACAGTCCCCGAAACATTGTCACGCGGTACATTGAGAAACATTGCCATGCGGTACGCTGAAACATTGCTTTGAGGTACACTGAAATATTGCTATGAGGTACGCTGAAATAATGCTATGATTTACACTGAAACATTGCTGAGGTACGCTAAAATATTGCAATGAGGAACGCTAAAATATTGCTATGAGGTACGCTGAAATATTGCAATGAGGTACGCTAAAATATTGCCATGAGGTACCCTGAAATAGTGCTATGAGGTACGCTGAAATATTGCTATGAGGTACGCTGAAATATTGCTATGAGGTACGCTGAAATATTGCTATGAGGTACGCTGAAATATTGCTATGAGGTACGCTGAAATATTGCTATGAGGTACGCTGAAATATTGCTATGAGGTACGCTGAAATATTGCTATGAGGTACGCTGAAATATTGCTATGAGGTACGCTGAAATATTGCTATGAGTTACACTGAAATAGTGCTATGAGGTACGCTGAAATAGTGCTATGAGGTACGCTGAAGTACTGCTATGAGGTACGCTGAAATATTGCTATGAGTTACACTGAAATAGTGCTATGAGGTACGCTGAAGTACTGCTATGAGGTACGCTAAAATATTGCTGTACGCTGAAACATTGCTATGTTGTACGCTGAAATAATGCTATGATTTACACTGAAACATTGCTGAGGTAAACTAAAATATTGCAATGAGGAACGCTAAAATATTGCCATGAGGTACGCTGAAATATTGCTATGAGGTACGCTAAAATATTGCCATGAGGTACCCTGAAATAGTGCTATGAGGTACGCTGAAATATTGCTATGAGGTACGCTAAAATATTGCTATGAGGTACATTGAAATATTGCTATGAGTTACACTGAAATATTGCTATGAGGTACACTGAAATAGTGCTATGAGGTACGCTGAAATAGTGCTATGAGGTACGCTGAAGTACTGCTATGAGGTACGCTAAAATATTGCTATGAGGTACGCTGAAACATTGCTATGTTGTACGCTGAGAAACATTGGCACTAAGTACATTGAAACATAACCATTGACCACCCTGAATGGGACACTACAACGAAGTACCCTGAAACATTGCCTTGAGGTATAACACGTTCTACGAATGGCTATATTTTATCATATTTGAAATATATATAAATATTCAAACGTTTTCAGTTTCACGGAGATGACGGCGCGTCCCCTGGCGGTGTCATACCCTCTGGTCGTAGATTCGAATCCCAGATTCGCATTGAACCAATTGAGAGCCTTTACACGCATTGATACAATTGAGAGCCTTACACGCATTGATACATGCTCTCTGAATCGTTCAACTAACTTATTTTGTCTTTTCTTCACACTGGAGCCGCAGTCAGTCTCCATTTTGAAAACAAACCAGAGCTTTGTATAAACATTTATAGGCCAAAGAATACCGTAGCGTTGACCTATGGCAAATGGCTTCACCCATGGACAACAGTATAGAGGCCAGACCTATGTCTCTCTATAGACACAGTGACGAAATACACAACAACCGACACATATCACAGATCACCCCTAAGTTAAATCATTCACCCTCGAATTCCCCACCTATTTCAGGTGTTTAAACAAGGCGACCTAGGATGACTACAGTTAACAAAGCGTCAAGGCTATGAACAGTGTTAAACTCTTGAAAACTACAGGTTATCTGTTCTGTATGTTTAAGAATACTGTGCTTTAAATGCAGCGCGTATTATCTTGGACTTGCTTTGTTTTGCTTTTTGTTTTATACATCTGGTGGTGGTGGTATTGTGGGTTGTCCTTCTTTTTGAATTTCTCTTTCAACGTTTGATTCTGCTTGTCGCAAGACAAACGGAATCGGGTGGTTAGACTCGCTGACTTGGTTGACACATGTCATCGCATCCTAATTGCGTAGATCGATGCTCATGCTCAGACTGGATTGTTTAGTTTGTTAGCAATATTCCAGCTATATGGCGGCGGTATGTACATAATCCAGTCTGGACCAGACAATCCAGTGATCAACATCATGAGCATCAATCTACTCAATTGGGATACAATGACGTGTCAGCCAAGCCAGCGAGCCTGACCATCCGATCCCGTTAGTCGCCTCCTATGACAAGAACGGGTGCTGAAGACCAATTCTGACCCGGATCTTCACGGGTTCGCACGGTGTCTGGGGGGGTTCCAGCAAATTGGGAATCGTCTAAAGAGCTACCTTTGGTTTATAGCGTATCCGCGGTTGAGTGTGTACAACATCTGCCCAGTCAGCGGTTGGTACGCGTCATCAAAAGACATTAAAACATGGTATTTGTTGTTTCCCTGCCTGGCGCTAATCATTTTGGGGATCCAACAATGACTGGTCTGATAGATGGTACGATACCCTGGTCGTGTCATCAAAAGACGTTAAATATGGTATTTTGTATTTCCCTGCCTGACGCTTAGTATTTTGGGGATCATAATGACCGGTCGGCTCGGAGTCAGGACACTGTGTCTGAGGAGGGTATCAATGTTTCACCGCGGTATGGCATCTCAAGGGGTTAGCACTAGAAAACCAGCATAATATGGGAATAGCGACCACATGCGAGGTATAACAATTTTTAACGGTGCCAAAAAAAACCATTTCACCACTCACGGTGAGTTTCACACTTCAAACCAACGTTTGACCGCTCATTTACCGACTCTTTATACACTTACCTGGCGCCTTTGTGGGACGGACGTAGCTGGGTCGCTTTGTCCAAATATTGTTGTTGTTGCTGTTGGTGTAGGGACAGTCGTTGGCGACGTCGTTCGGAAGGACACATCCGTGAGTGATGCCGGAGAAGACCCTCCCTGATGAACACCGCATGTTGCGCCACTTGACGCCGTTGACGCAGTAGTAATACCGAGAACAATCATATGGGTAATCTGTTGAGCGGTATTTACGCGAACGACAGTCATTTTTACACATCTTAGTCCTCCGACATCCTTCAACAGTGCTGATAAAAGAAACGGAAAATAATGCCAGTACAATCAGACAAAAATACAATTCAATTCTTGGAGTCATCTTCTCAAAACCGCTGTAACAAAATCCAGGAATTGTCTGCTGTAATCCTTGTGAAAGATAGACCCGAAAAAATTCTACCGTTGGTGAGACTCCTAATTGTATGATTCGACGGACTAAATGCTATCGGGTATTTATCCGGGGTTTAAATACCCCTTAACATCCGTTAATACCCGACGACATGCGCCGTTAATCGACCATGTTTCATATATAGTCAGATCACGTGCACTCATCACTAGACATAGGATACTGTGCACGTATTTCTCGTGCACTAACCCCCACCTTTACCCCATCAAAGGTAGATTCACAGACATCGTCTTAAAATCAAATTTCAAGTTGCGTTTTGGTAATAAGACATTACGCGCGTTTGTAATGAGAAACATGTTAAAAGTTTATATGATACACTTTGTTTGAGTGTATTCATGAATTTAACACTACAAATTTTCGTTCACTTACTTGAGGAGAAATTAAAAGAAGTTATTGACATATTTCATTGGGAAGCTAATTATTCAAGTTCGTGTTCGACTTGTTCGCGGCTGTTTTTCGAACAGCCAAAACGCACCACCAACCTCAATTAACTTGGCGTATCCAAATCAAACAGGTAAACTAACGCGAGCTCTACGCGATCAAACAACGCTTTGAGAACTAGGCAAGTAAATAATTACAACACACTGATTGTCTCAGTCATAGCAGATAAAAAGAACTTCAACCAGCACATCAAAACGACTGTACCTAATTTGACAGTAATCGTCCATGGTACGTTATGTAGTTCACCTGGGAGATATGGTTCCAATACTCCATGTTTGCCGTATGAACATCCCTGTATGGTGAATAAAATTTTTGTGTATTTTATCATTTCTTTAATCAGGGCTGTTGGTTCTGAGTTATTCAAAAGGAAATTAACAAAGCATTTGAGTTTAATTGTTTGTTTTGTCGTTGTTTGATGTCACATTCTGTATAAGGGCCACAACTGACAATTATCGACACTGTTCTGGTTTATTAACACCCATTCTCTTCGTCGTTAACATTGAATGATTAACTTCAAAAAAGATGTAAGATTTTTATGAAATTATGAATACATGTACATTGTAATAAATTAATTATGTTGATTTGTTTGTTTGTTGTTTAACGTTGCACTCTCCAATAGTACAGCAGAAATAATCTAGTCTGGACAACACAATCCAGTGTTCAACATCATAAGCAATTGCAGTTGGGATACGATAGCATGTGTCAACCAAGTCTGCGAGCCTGACCGCCCGATCCGTTAGCAGCCTCTTTCGACAAGCATGGACCAATTCTAACCCAGATGTCGAAGACCAATTCTAACCCAGACCTCAACGAGTAACACCTACGACTACTCAGATTAGTATGTGATAAAAGCTCACGTGGTCTACGACAACCCGTATAGTCTGAAAGAATGCAGGTTACCACAACCATACTGAGCTCCGATCACCCTTTGTGTGTGGTAAAGAATCATAAACTATGACAACCTTACGTCTGAGTTCGTAGTAAAGAACAGGATTTGCAACAAACATACAGAGCTACGAGAACACTTAGTCTGATTTTGAATGTAGAATGGGACGTACGACGATTATGCATGAAAACCAAGTTTGAGACTGTATTAAAGAATGGGACTTGCGGAAATCACAGACCTACGAGAACCTTTAGTCTGAAAGAATGATGGTTGCAATATTAATCTTATAGATCTACGGTTGTCCTTCGTCTGTAAAGAATCTTAGAGCTTCGGGCTTAAACTAAAGTATCCTGATGAGCGGTGGTATAAGAACTGCAGGGGTTGATACAGCTTTTTGAGAGGGTTGGGGTGAGGGTTGGGGTGGGGAAGGTGCACTGAGTTCATTTTCACCCGTTCGTTTTCACGAGAGTTTCAATGGTCAATTAATAATTTTTCAGGACAAAAAAGGGGGTTGGGGGTCCGACTATTTATACGAATCCAGGTTTTTCAAGCTAGGAAATGTTACGCATCACATCGTTAATACATCGCTAACGTTAATATTTGTATTTACAATAATTTACAAAGATTAAGTTTCGTTTTATATTTTAATGATCGAACGTGTTTTGAAAGGGTAGAACCTGGGTTTGCGACATGAGGTGTAGCAGAGTTGGTACGGGAAATGTCAAGAGACAATACAAGTGCAGACATTCATGTTCCTAGGAACGTTACTGTCTTCGGACTGAACACAAAGTCAGTGCACTTTGGCTAATTAAGTGCATGTACTTCCTAGGAAGTGAGAGACTATTTAAAGTTAAATGTCGATTTACTTAGGGACCGTTCATAATTTATGGCTAGAGGGGAGATGATGATTTTTATGGAGAAGCATGTACAATGTGAACGACCCCCTAAAATTGATGTACAGTATGTGCCCCACCCCTGCATGTCATGTACAAAATCAATGCCCCCCCCCCCACTCCCCCCTTCCCAATTTTTAAGCATAATTTAAAAATATACTTATGTACCAAATTGCTGACCCACCCACCCACCCACCCCCAAGCATGTGTACAAAATTTATGACACCCCACCTCCGAGAACAAAACCTCCCCTTTAGAATCATCATCAACCCCACCCCCACACCCCTCAACCTACCCAAGCCATAAAATATGAACGGTCCCTTAATACATGAATTTCAGTTCTGGACGTGTAACGTTGGACTGAGTCATAACTGAGGAATAAAATCAACAAAACCCTTCACACAATCCAAAGAAATCTCTTCTGACAGCAGAGAAGAAATATATTTAGTACGTGATTATCAAAATATGACCCATAGTTAAAATGGTGGTAAGGTACTGAAAGCTGCGAGGGTGGAACATAAAATGCTGTAAATGGACAGTAATCAACTTCACTAAAGGGCAGACAACTGTTACAAGTAGAAGTTACTTCCCTTTACGATGAGACGCCATTTTGGTCCCACGTCGCTAAGAGACGTTATCCCGTATTTAGTTTTCGTTTATGTAGTTAATGCTGATCCTTGCTGTATAACATTTATCCTTTCAATGACCAGTTTAGCATTAATACAATTACCTGCAATATTAAACTGCCACAGGTACACACCAAGCGAAATTACAAAACACTATATTCAGGTGTATTAAAATAGTAAGACGTTGCTAAGGCTCTTCTTTCGAGTCCTTCATTTTGTTTGAAGTGTCTTGTTGCTTCCCACTGCGATTTGTTGCCTTCATTTTACAACTGTTTGCCTCGGTCAAGTGATTCCTTGTTGCCTGCAGGTAATTTAGTTATATATTCAAACGTTGAAACACTTTAATTGTAATATTTATTGAAAATATCCGTTCTTTAGACTAGTTTCATCATTATGAAATGTTTGCCGCGATTGTTGCTATATCGCCATCTTGATTTTTGTTAAATGTGTCTGTATTCCAAATCATCAGCTACCTTGGAACTTGTAGAGAGAACGCGAAAACATCGTCTTGACGTCCTTTCAGTTCTGCAGTTAGTGTCCCAACTACAATTTTCTAGCATTCACCATTCAGTTGTTAAAACAATAAGAAATTGGGCCTACCCGTCTTACCCGTCTTGTGCTAAAACGCAACCCAAACATCCTGTACAGAGTAGCCTAACTGTTCATAGAAAAGACTACTGCATATCTTCAGAACGTACCCTTCTTATTACAGGCTTGAACAACTCGTGAGCCTGTAGACCTATTGCGTTTACAAGGAGTGTTTGCAAGGTAACGCATGGATCTAATGTGATAGAGTGACGAGTAGTAGATCTAAATGACAGTCTTTAATGAAATATTGTTATCGTCTCACTATATATAAGTTTACATTTCAGTATATCCCTGTATGTTATTACATATTGGAGCACATTGAGTCCACTAGTAATTGAAACTATATTATTACCGACTGATTACAACACTGGTTGTAATGTTGCAGACATCAACCATGATGTACCCTGATGACCCCTGCCTTGGTATCCCCACCGAGGACTGGAGTGCTTCCCCCCTCCCACTTAGTCCCTCCTCCAGTTCATCCAATCTCAATGATCTCACCCAAAGTGTGTCCGGCCAGTTTCTCTCATCCTTAACTTCCAGCAGGAGCTCCTGCACTGAGTTATCCTTTGATTTGGACCCCACCCCAAGCTGCTCAGAGCTTAGTCAACTGTCTGGTAGATCCTATCATGGTAGCCCTGAAGCTAGCTTCCTCTACCCTGATTATCCCAGCTTTGCCTTTAGTTCCTCTCATTTCAGAGTGTCACCTGGCACAAGCTCCACCGACCTCAGCCCAAGATGCATTGAAAGCTGTTCTGGTCTTATCCACAGTGATGACGAGCTTAGACATACCACAAGCTCCACCTGTCTTCTTTCTGTCCATCAGTCAGAGAGCATCAACAGATCCGAGAGTTCCATCTCTGTAGGAGCAGAGAGTGTCATCTCCATTAGCAGCTCAGAGAGTGTCATCTTTGTCAACAATTCAGAGAGTGCGGTCTGCATTACCAGCTCATGCTCTGTCATTTCTGTTGCCAGCTCATCTTCATGCAATGAGACATGTGCCTACCAGCCTGTCAGTCTTCAGACCCTGTTCTACCATGACCTGCCCTACTATCAGTGGACCTCCTTCTCCAACCCAGCTAGCCCCACCATCAGCTTCACTGACCTCATCCTCCCAAATACATCTGTGAGCTGTTCCGAGACCCCTCTCACTGAGATCCCACTCTGCAGTTACACTCCTGTT